TTGATTTCTTCAAACCAAGCTGCTTACCTATTGCAGTTTCATTCTTCCCAGCCTGGTGCAGGTCTACAATTTTGTTTCTGGTGTCCTTTGACAGCTCTTTGGTCTTGGCCATAGTGGAGTTTGGAGTGTGACTATTTGAGGTTGTGGACAGGTGTCTTTTATACTGATAACAAGTTCAAATAGGTGCCATTAATACAGGTAACGAGTGGAGGACAGAGGAGCCTCTTAAAGAAGAAGTTACAGGTCTGTGAGAGCCAGAAATATTGCTTGTTTGTAGGTGACCAAATACTTATTTTCCACCATTTATAATTTGCAAATACATTTATTAAAAATCCTACAATGTGATTTTCCTGAAAAAAATGTCTCAATTTGTCTGTCATAGTTGACGTGTACCTATGATGAAAATTACAGGCCTCTCTCATCTTTTTAAGTGGGAGAACTTGCACAATTGGTGGCTGACTAAATACTTTTTCCCCCCACTGTAAATCAAACCCTCTCACAACAACCTCCCGCCAAAAAAGCCATGTTCTAATTATTTGTATTATAAGATGTATTATTCTGCTTGTTATGTAAATATTGTTCTTCTTTTGTTATTATCAGCTAAGCCATTACAATTATAACTGGCTATACTTATTTCACCATACACCATAATGAGATACAAGTTTCAAGTCTATTTATCATTATATATGTTTGTAAATTTACCAATAAAAAATAGCGTAATGATTGAGTGTCCATATAGCTGTATCGTGATATTTGCATTGCTACGGAGTAACCCTTCAATTGTTCTCCACTAATTCCCCCGCTAAAGCCCCTCCCCATCCCAAGTTGAGCCGTCATCCCAGTGATCAGCATCCCACCTACGTCCCTCCGTATCCCTAAGGCCCCGAGAGGCCAGGACCCATCCATCGAAAACAGCACACAGTGGCACCCACAAAACAGAAGCAGATTAACCGCCAAAAGCATTTCCAATGCTTTCACCTCTCTCTCTATATATATATATATATATATTTTTTTTTTTTATTTTATTTTTTTATTATGCATATCCTATTTTCCATCATTATCAATTAATATGCGTAAAAATGTCGGCAGTTCACGCGTAGGATTCCAACATATAACCCGGATTGCCATTGTATTACACTTAATTCATTGACAAGCAATTATTATCCTAGCAAATAATCCCTGCGGTCCATCCCATACCCTCCCCCCCAACATCCCCACCCCCCCACAACAGATGCCAGACAAGCACACACTCACATACTCACATACTCCAACACACTCAACCCCCCTCCTCCACAATCCACCATAAAATCAGATACTCAACAGCTGTTATATCCCAGAGCCCAACTCGAGAAATAACTTGATTTACGAGTGCACATACAGTTAAAGCTGATTGAGAAAGCATGCAGATTGAGCAGAAATTGATAACAATGTGAGATTTGATTAATCTACTTAATCTATGTCAAGTCCTAGGTGATGGAGATCAGATTCACCCTCTTCACCTGAGACACAAACACTCTGATCCCCCGTTGTAACCATTTTCCCAAGCATCTCCATGCGGTCAGACCTTTGATTATTTTGTGCCACCTGGGCCACAATGATAAACCCCCTCTCTGATTGTCCGAGTGTGACCCCCTCCCCATGGGTTACTGCAGCCAGTGTTGCCAGCACTGCCACTACCTGGGTGGGCGTACCCCACCGGAATCCCCACCGGCTAGGTAAAAAGGTCGTAAAGGTTCTCATTAGCAGCTTTGAGAATTTCCTTGTATATTATTCTCTCCCATCAGGGGGCTCTGGCTTTGTAGGACCAACCCTGCCAGGCAGGCTCAGAATCTTGAGGGGGCGGTGCTGCTCAAGTAGGTCTCTGACCGCATTTATTTCTCTGTTTAGGCTGCATATTCACAGCAGGTCCATAAAAGAGATGGGAACTTCTCTTTGGTGTATGGGTCGCTCAGTTGGGTGTCCAGGTTATAGGGTTAGGGATCTTTCCATCATGATAGGACAATGAAAAATTAGATTAGATGTATACTATATTTAAAAATGTATATCCCTCATCTACACAAAATTGAAAGCTCTCTCTCTCACTACCCCTGCTCATAGACCCCCGGTCGGCTCTGGGATATGCAACCATTTCCCCTCTCACTCACTTAACGCCGCACCTTTTCAAACACAAAAATGCACACCACATGGTTGACTGCGGAAGAAATGTGCCGAGCATGCAAACGCACCCGCATCCACATCTGCCGCAAGGGGGAAATGACGCCAGAGAGAACACAGGACCAACCACAACAACCATCCGCCAAAACAACAACCTCCCGCCAAAAAAGCCATGTTCTAATTATTTGTATTATAAGATGTATTATTCTGCTTGTGATATCGTTTTATCCTTTTATAAAATACTATACTTACTATAAATGTTATTTAATATTTCAATCCCTATCATTGCTATTATCAGGTGCTCCAATATTTGACTCCTCTATTACAACTTTTAGAATAGCCATGGAGTAGTCTTTGTGTCTCTGAACATTTGGTTGTCAATATATAATTTATCCACCACTAGTACTACACGTTTCCCTTTTAATCTGTTTTCCTTGAAGATTGGATACAGAACTTTGCGCCTTTCTACAATCTCCCTCGGGAACTGATCATTCATGCCTATTTTCGTGCCAGCAAGTCTTTTTCCTTGGCTTTTCACCATAGTGTGAGAGATTTATTATTTTTATAATTGATGGGATGACTAACTTAGAAAGAATGCATTCTGGACTGTGCTAATGTAGGTTGTGACACCTGGCAAGCTGTGATTGATGTGAAGAGCTGTTTTAGGGGGTAAAGGGAGATAAGGATTTATGTCTCCAGATGCTGGAATATACTGGTTCTTTGTGATCTGTGAACCTTCCTTGGACGTAGGAATGGTGTCTAAGGGAGCTGGCTCTTCTCACTATGACAGGTTGTTATGATATGGACATATGCCTGGCAACAGGGGTGCATCAACGGATAGGCTGAGTAAGTCTAAACCACGCTCAAGTCTTTGCTCTGATTGGCCAACAGAGAGGTGGGAAACTCTCTGTCAGAGTATTTGAGCAAGAACCCAGAACAATGGATTAGTTCTCTGGGGTGCCCTGGGAGGTATTTCAGAGAGCCCGTATATACGAAACATCATATTTAACATTGAAGGTTTTTGCATTAATTAAAATAACTAGTATATCTTAGAAGTCGTGTTGACCTCTTTTGTTCCTAATACCAGATTTGAATTGACGCAACTTTGACAATAGCTTTATCCTTAAAAAAAGCAAATTTGGCAACGATTGGGCGCTCATATTTCTGTCCTCTTTTTCCGAAACGATGTACACGTTCGAGTTGGATTTTATCGACAGCCTCGAGTGGGATTTGTAGCGCTGTATGCAGGAAGTCCTTCATAATATTCTGTTATTTCTCCCTCCTTTTCCTGAATACCCGTAAGTACTAGATTTTCCCTCATCGATCTAGTTTGGATGTCTAGTAAGACTTCTCTCAGAAGATTGTTCTCCTTTTTTAGTTCCCCAACGTCCGTTTCCATTTTAGAGACTGTCACTTTTAATTCGTTGGTTTCTTTCTCCATTACCATAGCTTTTTCGTCACTCATTTGAAGACTCGCTTTCAACTCTTTTACGTCTTTACTGACCAATTCTAATATGCCCAATTTGTCATTTATCGACTTCAACAGGTCGCTTTCCACACTTACCATACCCAGTGGTGAAAAGCATATATCATCTGTATCAGTCGATGAGTCGCGTTTCCTTTTGGGGATCGGCTCTCCACGCTTGTCTTCAGTCATGTTTTGGTGTTGCGTGTTGTTGTAATATTTGTCGATATATTTCTCTAGCCTTATGATCTGTTTTGTGTTATTATCCAGATTGAATTATATTAACTGTGAATATATGAAATGCTAATATTTAGTCTAACTTACTGATTTTGAATATTATGTTTTTATCTTGAGGTGTTTTGTACCGATTTCAATTCAATACGCCATCTTGTCTACGCGTGCCCCCGCCTCAACATCTAATTTCTTTCTTTAATGCATTAAGATAAATTGTACACAATACTGTTGATGTCTTTTTGATATACTGATTTAGGAAAGAGGTTGCAGCCATTTCAACAGTTATACTTCATGCTTTATCATACTCTTTGGCAGGTCACTTCAGTTGTAACAGATGTGACTTCAAGATTTTATTTGATAAGGTCTGATGCGTTTGGAAAGTATTCAGACCCCTTGAACTTTTGCACATTTTGCTACGTTACAGCCTTATTCTAAAATTGATTAAATAAATATAAATCCTCATCACTCTACACATAATACCCCATAATTACAAAGTGAAAAAAGGTTTTTGGAAATGTTCAAATTCAATTGATTGACATGATTTGGAAAGGCACATACCTGTCTACATAAGGTCCCACAGTTGACAGTGTATGTCAGAGCAAAAACCAAGCCATGAGGTCAAAGAAATTGTCCGTAGAGCTCCAAGACCGGATTGTGTCGAGGCACAGATCTGGGGAAGGGTCCCAAAAAATTTCTGCAGCATTGAAGGTCCCCAAGAACACAGTGGCCTCCATCATTCTCAAATGGAAGAAGTTTGGAGACTCTTCCTAGAGCTGGCCACCCGGCCAAACTGAGCAACTGGGGAAGAAGGGCCTTGGTCAGGGAGGTGACCAAGAACCCGATGGTCACTCTGACAGAGCTCTAGAGTTCCTCTGTGGAGATGTGAGAAATTTCCAGAAGGGCAACCATCTCTGCAGCACTCCACCAATTTATAAAAACCTGTTTTTGCCTTCTCATTATAGGGTCTTTTGTGTAGATTGATGATGTAAAACAACTATTTAATCCATTTTAGAATAAGTCTTTAAGGTAACAAAATGTGGAAAAAGTCAAGGTCTGAATACTTTCCGAATTTGTAGAAATATACATATTCAATATCTAATGTTGTTATTTTGCGTACTCTCTCTCAGACTCTCTCACTCACTCTCAGGTTGATCATGGGCTGGCACACCTTATTCTGCTGTTCCGTCCTGCTGCTGTTTCTGTCCACTGCTTCTTCATTTCCGACCATTGATAAAATCAGTGGTCTGAGAGGCATATGGTACGGCAACATCTTCCCACGACACGGTCTCCATCTGCTTTACTGGTTTGTTGACCAATCAGAGATCGACAACAACCATGACATCATCCAAACCCATTTCGATCCAGCCAGAGGTGACAATGGCTTTGGTTACTTCAATAATAACAACAGTTTCCTCCCAGCTCTGACCGATCCAAAGAGGCAAGCTTACTACGTAGTGGGGGATATCAGTAAGTCTAACTCATGGGCCTTGCCCGAGTATGTCACTGAAAACTACTATAACTCTCTGAAATCTGGTAACAGAAATATGGACAGGATCGTAGTCAGGGTTGTCCAGGAGAAAGGGTCAAATAAGTCCAGGTTGGATAAGGTCTTTGTTACTCAACTTTATGTGTGGTCCTCTGTAGCTCAGCTGGTAGAGCACGGCGCTTGTAACGCCAAGGTAGTGGGTTCGATCCCCGGGACCACCCATACACAAAAAAAAATGTATGCACGCATGACTGTAAGTCGCTTTGGATAAAAGCGTCTGCTAAATGGCATATTATATTATTATTATCTGCTCAACAACCAATCAAATTCCTTCCATCCAAATCAAACGTACACCATTAGCTTCAACCTCTTACGAGAAATCCAGAAGTTACAGAGGAACGACACATTGGCCGGTTTGGAGGCATTTCTGATGCAAGCTGGGTACCAAACGTGCCCGTCGCCCGAATTTAAGGTCTGTTATGTGAAGTCTGTCCGATTCCAAAGGCTTCAGATGGTGGAAATGAAAACAGAGGACGATTGTCACCTGCTGAGGTTTGAAGTCAAACCAGCCGAGAACAGCTACCTGAAAATGAGCTGGAGCAACCTACCAAAGTCCATCAAGGGCTCTTACATGGTGGTGGGGCTTTTCAAGGACGATGCTAGTCTGACCAAACTAGCCAAGTCCCCCGTCGGTTGTAAGAGGCATGGAACCTCGGATGTTTCCGTGGCCCTCAACCCCGGTCTTCAGGTCAGGCTCCTCATACCTCTCCAGGACAGGACCGAAAGGGAAGTCTGGAGAGGTGCCGTATTTGACGATGCGAACAGTTTGATTCCTGTCATCCTAAAAGGCTACAACGCCAGTCTGCAGCTCTACACTAAAAACGGCTGCGCCTGCGCTCGCCTGTTTGTGAAGAAAACCTTCGCTGACTGGAAGGAGATGTTTTATTACTCGTGGGTAGGGTTCTACTCGGCAAACAGCGTCAACAACAAAAAGTACCAAAACTACCAGTGGGCACGGTCTTTCACTAAAGAGACTTCCTCAGAGGAGATACCTGAGTATGATATCTATGTTTATGAGTCCAGTATGGCCATTGCTCCAGGTGCCCAGGCCCGATTCATGCTGTCGACCTACAATGAATTAACACGTACAGTAGCCTGGGAAAGTCAACACTAAAAAGCCCTCGATGAAGTGAGGAGCATCTTTTACCTTATGTCATGATGATAATGGGGTCTTTGAGGCAAATCTTTATGTAAATGTTTTTATTTAACCGTTGAATCATTGTGGTTTATTTAACTTTATCAGACACATTACTGAATGTACTTTTTTCAAGGAACCATGAATTTGAACCTTCAGGAGTCTGATCACAAATCACTTATTTTACTATCTTTCTTTGGCACCCTTGTTTCATTAATAATTTTGTTAATTCTGACTTAATTCGCAAAATAAAACATAATAGTAATCAACTGTACTAATTAAGCTATATGTATGATTAACAAGTTCATAATGTAAAAGTTGATGAATGACTGAACATTTTAAAAATACATTGATCAGTATGCAGTCGTGATGAATTCAACTTTTACAATACACTTGAATTTCAAATGGATCTTTGATTAAATGTAATACTTGATAACATATTGTAATTTCATTGTTTTTATATAGTGGTGAATGTGTTGAGTGTGAATGCCCCAGATGATCTGTTTATGAAATAAATAGTTTAGTCTGTTAAGACCAATGTTTGAAGTCCATGACCTGAAGCAGCAATGTATCATTATGCCAAGTTCAAGCTAAATTGCAATAACATGATTTACGAGGGATCTCAATAACAAACATTCTGAATTTTGATAAATGAACCTCATTTGTGGGTGGTAACAAAGATGTAATGTGACTCAGTTTCGATGTTAACATGGTAACAGGGAATATGCGTTACTGTATCGGCCTAACACACTGTCTGACTACACAATGCAGGCTTGACAATTTCCTGATTATGTCACTGAAGACTATTCCAGAACAAAAGGCGACACTGAGCGCAATCGAGACAGGATTGTTGTTAGAGTTGTCCGTAGAGATTTGACGAGAATTTACCATATTTTTTATTACACAGCACCTTCCATTTCAGCGCAATCAGCCAAATACAGATTACGATCAGACAAATACCTTTGAGATTCACATCGACCTTATTAGACAGATCTGAAATCTAAACTTGCTATCATTTCTGGATTAAGCAGGATACAAAAATAACACATACATGCACAGTGAAGCCAAGGAAGAGTCATAAGGAAACCTCAGGCTGCGAAAAAACCCATGAGGTTGTTGATTGCTGGTATGAAGCTTGAGGTCAATACTTTAGGGTGGGGGGAGGCCGGAATTAGATGGAGCGACCTACCGCAGAAGGTTATAGACTTGGGGGTGAAGGTGGCACTTTTCAAAGATAACAACGGTCAGACTCAGACGACATCTACCTCAGTCTCCACAGCCAACGGAGTCTATGACACTTGGGTGACCCTAAACCCCGGTCTTCAGGTCAGGCTTCCCACAAGTAAACCATGGTGGTCCAGTGATGGAAATCTGGAGGGGCTCCGAGTTTGATGATGCCAATGGAGAGATGCCAGTTCAGATTTGAGGCTTCAACGCCAGTCTACAGTTCTACACTAAAAACAACTACGCCTGTGCTCGTCTGTTCGTGAAGAAGTTCTTCACTGACTGGAAGGATGGGTTTTATAGCTCTTGGGTGGTTATACTTATATGAGACAGTTCTGAGAAAATGATCAAAAACTGAGTGGCAATATGTTGTATATTTCCCCAAAGAGGTGAAATAGTGAGGAAAAAACAGTCACTGAACCTAGGAAGGGAACAAATGGTAAACAAAATAAACGAGATGAACTGAAATAAAATCACACATTATAATTGAGGTTAAATCACGATTCAACTTGTACATACATTATACTACTCTTTGCTCCTTTTTGTATTTGAGCTGATTCAATTCCAGCTCATCACAAATCAATTCCAGCTCATCACAAATCAATTCCAGCTCATCACAAATCAATTCCAGCTTTCTTTTGCAACTTGATGTGTTGGTGTGTCGTGACAATTGCATGGTGTGGGTTTTTAACATTAATATGGTGGTGTTGTGTAAATGTATGTAACCTGATCTGCGCAATGTGTGTGCGCTTTGATTGAGGCGTAGGGTGGTGTGATCGTTTATAATGTAAAGGTTGATGAATGACTGAACATTGTGAAAATCCATCAGTATGCAGTCATGTCGCAGGATGATGCATTTAACTTGTACAGTACACTTGAATTTCAACTGTCTTTACACTTACAAGCTTGATGACATTTAACTTTGAAAGGGAGGTTTATCCATCAGAACTCTCAATGGTTTTGTTATTGAGATCACTTGTCAAATATGAGAAGCTGATTGGCAATCAATTTCATCCATCAATGCAAAGATGTATGTTATACACTAGATATTTCTACAGTAGACTTTGATGTTTACCCTGACTTGCTTTATTTCATTGCCCCTAAATAAAGTTGGATGAATAAAGTTGTAATGAATTGAATTAAATGAAATACTTGAAACACCAGCAGCAAATAAAAGACACAAGGCACCCAAATTATTTTTTATGAATAATTTATTGCCAATAGGAAAGCGTGAGCTAGTGGCAGTATTCAATAAAAACCTTAACAAGACCATAGCACTGCTCACACCCACATAGACACCTGAAAAAGTCAAGTGTCTATGGATAACTTTGCACTATAAATATATTGGGTCCCATTTTCGTGGTGGAAAAATAAAGAGGTTCCAAAGTCGCCATTTACAAACAAACAAATAAAAAATAGAACAACACAAGAATATGCAGTCGCTCATCGAAGACCCTTTTTGAAATGAGCAGGAGACAATCAACTTTTTACGGATACATCGTGTTTTGGAAAAGCAGCGCTCTTCTCTTTTTTTAAACAACTTTCAGTTTTTTCTTCTTGTGAATGAAGGAACAGTAAGGCTGATAATGTCGCACACCATTTAACTTGTGTTTTTTTGGGAAAATAAAAGCATAAAATATCTACAAAACCTAATAAACCTTGAAATCAAAACTGTACATTTAAATTTACATTGAAAATGAACGAGGATTTGTATCAAAAATCAGTTTGCACGGTTTTACCTCTACAAATACAGATATCACCTTGTAGTGTGTGTTTTATCTATCATGATCGTTATTGTGTCAATGGTTTTCTTTTTTTCTTCGTAGTTGTACATCAATGTAGTTTTCCATCAATCATTTATTGTGCATAATTAACATTTACTTAAAGCAATGGCACAGCCAACTCAAACATGGGTATTTTTCCAGTACTGCAGGAGTTGGACTGAGTAGATAGAGGAGGCTACGGGGTCCAGTGCTGTTAAATGATATCTCCTTGAAGACACTGCCGCCCCAACAAGCAGCCTTCAGCGTAAGACCAGTCCCAACAACCCCTGTTTAGGTGAACAAATTCATTGCTCTGTGTGTGTGTATGTATAAGTGTGTATGTGTGTCAGTGTAGTGTCTCTTTGTGTTGTGTGTAGTTGTAGTGTGTACATACTCGGTTAGAGGGGGTTAACATAAGGTACAGATGGGGGGTGTTCAGGCACTTTTGTTTGGATCCAGTGTCAGACTTCAGTGTGCTGTTGGGAGTCCAGTGCGGGGATGGCCAGCCGCTCAAAGTGTCCCTCGTCACCGCTCTCATAGTCGCTCATCATGACCTCTGACTCCTCGCAGCACGCCGACATGTCCGAGCAGGAGGCCGTGGACGTGTACAGGGACATGGACATGTTGTCCAGCGCCGGCGCCTCAAAGTCCCCCCGCCCGTACCCCATGGGGTAGCCACCCCGGTAGCTGCTGCCGCCGCCCATGGTGGAGGCCGGGGTGGTGGTGGCGTTGGTGGCAGCTGTGGAGCCGCCGCAGCCCGGGTTGCCCTCAGCGTCGCTGGGGTAGTGGTGGTGCGGTAGGTACTGGTTAAGGCTATAGAGCTGGGGCAGTGGTGGGCGGTGGCGCACCCCCGAGGCCAAACTCGAACCGGGGCTGCCAGGAGGCGCCAGGTCCCTCCGGGGTGGTTCCAGGGTGTCGTAGCGGTCGCCATACTCGGGCAGCGGCGGCGGGGGCAGGTCGTCGTGGGCGGGGAAGTGCTCGGGCGGCGGCGGGAAGTCGCTCTCGATGTCATAGCCGCCGGGGTAGTAGTCAGTATCGATGGCGTTCTGGTCACTGTACAGGGGGGCCGGGGACTCCACGACCTCATACTGCGGGAACTCCTGGATTCCAGGAAGTTGAACACTTGGCATCCAATCAGATGTGTCCCAGTGGTAGCCTGTTGGACAGGATGCAAAGAATTAGACACCACAGGTCCCACCACCCTATGCCTCAATCAAAGCACACACACACACACACACACACACACACACACACTCGCACAGATCAGATTACATACATTTACACAACAGTAGCATGTTAATGTTACAAACCCACACCATGCAATTGTCACGACACACCAACAAAGTAAGTTGCATTCGTTAAAAAAACACAGAAATCACAAAACAGTTTACACACACATACTGCAAACACACACATGTACACACACATAGTATAAACAAATACTGATTAAGATGTAGTACACTCAAAACAGACACTTTTTTTCTACTTTCACTGCTTTTATGGAGTGGTTTATGCTGAGATCATTTCAAAATGGGGGTGAATACGATTAGTGATTTTCAAAGCACCGTTTCAAACGGTTTCTTTAAAGTTGGCTCCATGTTTTTTAGTGTCAGAAATCAAAGGAATCTGAGTGATATTAATAACTTCATTCAACGTGGGATAGTTATAGTTACTGGGGGAAGGGGGGACACAAAACTAATTTTAGGGTCTATGTGAGGGATTTGAATTGAAGTGCTGTGACAAAATTAGACAGTTTCCATGTTTAGTTTATAACTATCGATATGATATTGTTTCGACCAAATCATTCTTAAACATTTCCAGTCTTATTTCCTCACAGCATCTACGTCATGCAAGGGATTCTTTTGTTGGTTGACAGTAAGGGGGGAGAAACACCACTGGGCTTCAGGCAAACAAATGACAAAACAGTCACCTCTTGGATTCTTGAGATCATGAGCCAAAAAAGACTCTTTAGACGAGGTGAGAAGGGAGAGGAGAGAGGGAGAGGAGAGAGGGAGAACAAGTCAAGTTAAGAACCTGAGAGAGAGAGAAGCCCAGAACAAGAATGAAACATGAAAAAAAAACTACTGCTCTGAGCAAAGATACACGCTTACAATAATGACAACAATCGTGCCATTTTCTTAAACAGTCAATCGAGGAGCGAGGGAAATTAATCTAGCACCTTCCAAATGACACTTTTGCTGCTCTGTTAATTGGCCAATCATGTGAGACATTTCAATTTTCAGCCTCAAATTAGGCAGCGCGAATTGCAATAATTTGAATGACAATGAGATGAGGCATATCATTGGATAAGGAAATGGCATCTCCGAGGCCTAACTCGTCACCCTGACACTGAGGACAGAGCACGAAACTACCAGACATGGGTTCAAATTGTATTCGAAATCATTTCAAATACTGCAATTGTGCTTGATTAAGCTTGCCTGTGGCAATGGAACCAATAGAACATTTTAAAAAGTGCAAACTCCGCCCACCTGGCACTCCAGGCAGATGGAAGCAAACACTCAAAGTACTTGAAAGATTTGAAATAGTATTTGAACCCAGGTCTATGGAACACCACCACACAGAAACACCACAGACGGCTAACAAGTTTTGAGGTGATAGTAGCAAAAGAGTACCTTCTCCTTCCACCGAGTCAATAACAGAGTTGACAAGGTGGATTACCGTCACTATGGAGGCTTGTTAAAGGTAAGGGGAAAGGAGCAGATGAGGAGAATTTTACCATTAGTACAAATGATATGGAAAAAGAAACCAAACACAAATGGAAGTGCACGTTTGCGATGGGAAACGTCAAACCAACGTTCGAGAAACGTTTCCCTACAACAACAAAATGTCCCTGTGTTGCTCTGAAACGTATGGAGTTTTTGGTTGGGGGGTAGGACGAAGGGAGGACAGGAGGGTAAGACTTTGACTGCATGATGTTGAAGGACGTCTACATTGGATGTTTGGGTTTCAATGGTTGGTCACAACACAGAGGTGGAACGGGACACGGTGGAGAGGGAGTTTGGTCTTTGTGCAAGAGAACACACAGCAACAACATACGGAGATAATAGGGGTGCCATTGACAGTATGGAAGGAAGGATCAGATACATTCTCAAGGATAAAAACGCCTTTCCAGTCTTAAAATAGATAAGACTATATTTTGTCCAAATACAGTCTAAAAAACTAAATAATAAAGAAATGCTTTTTTCACAAAGAAGTAAGACATATTTTCTATATAGATATACTGTAAAGATATGATAAATACATCTATTTATCAGAAAACCAGCAGGTTTTCACGGTCAGGTTAAGGGTAAGTACAGATGAAGGTTGAGGTGATTGATGGTAAACACATTCCCCACAACCCAATGTGAAATAAGGGCAGATATGGGAGAAGAACCATCATATGTACTTTATACCCTTGCTTAATGCTCCTTGCTGTTTTCTTCAAATATCCATCCGTGGCTAGATTTTGTTTAGAAAGAAACACATGCAAAAAGAGAGACAAACAAAAAAGGGACATGCAAGTAAATAAAATAAAATCACTTAAAATTATGATATGATGCTAATTTGCTAACTTTGGCTAATCTTGGCTAATGCTAATTTCCCCTCTTGTCACTTCAGCGGGGACGCCTGTACAAGCAAGCCTGTTTTGCGGCTAGGGATGAGTAGAGGGCGAGACAGAACAGAGAGAGACCGACAACGGAAAAGGCTTTTTTATGCCTGGAGAATCTTGCAAAAATGTTCTCTTTGATCGCTTCCTTCTGTACCGAGGTGATTGAGGACTTACAAGCCGACCCCTAGTTAAAACCGTGTTCTGGGTCTGTGGACCGATTTGATCCAAATGGGAACTGAAGCCCCGCAGCAAAGAGGGAGAGAAAAGAACACATGACCCCACAGAGCCAACGTTGCAGCCAATCACGGCATGCAAAGAGAAATGGTTAGCATGTTGCATGTATACAAGTCAACTACAGCCAAGGGGCCACTCTACAAAGAACTGCAGTCGAACAAGAACCAGACAAGTTTTCCACAAGCATCCCCACGTGTGCTTTCCACTGCAAACATGCAAGAGTCTGATGTACTGCTTCAGAATTCAGAAACTATACAACCAAACTAAAACTAAATTTTAATATCTACGTTTAGTACAAATATGGGTCTGTAAGAGGACCAAACTTCCTTGGTTCACTTCGGGTATAAATCAATCTAGTCAACGTATTAGGACATTTATCAATGAAAAGAGGATCCCTAAACTGGCAAGGTTGACAATTTCTGTGCAGATACATACCGTTATCGTCACATGACTCGGACTGGAAGGAGCTGAGGGACTGGACCTCAGACATACTGCCCCTGGTGTTGTAATGACAGGCACTGTCCTCCACTGGCTTCTTGGTCAAACAGTGATCCAAGTCTACTACCTTAGCTGGAGTACAGAAGCACAAACACACAGACAAACATACAAAGATGTAAGTTGTTGAAGTAGTATTTCCGGAAGAGACTACACGCAGGGATTTGCTAAATTTGTACTGTGATCAAGTTGCAAGTACACACCAAGTAGCCTGGGAATGAAATAGAGGGTTTTTGTATTTTGGCTTTAGTATCGGACACTAGGGTTGGGCGATATTTGGGGAGACCTCTTCTACAATATGCTACTCCAAATATCGCGATATCTGATATTATCGTTTTGCGCCGTTAATGACTAAATCATTCCAGACGGTGCAATTTTTGTCCTTACTTATGATATTATCGTCACATTCTCATTAAATAATCTTAGTATGGTGAAAAAAGAAAGCTTTGTTAATTCATTTAGACTTCATGTTTAACATATTGATACAGCCTAACTGATAAAACTGCACAGTTTTGATTTGTACATTTCAAATAGCGTATAGTCGTACATATCACGATATACGGTCTTGCACTTCACTATATATCGTCAATGTCAAATATCATGATAGTCGATTTCATCATATATCGGTCCAACCCTACTGGACACTCCATGAATGATGTGAGGTAATTCCACAAGGAGCCTAAAAAATAAATAGTAGGGAATATACAAATATTAATCAACAATAAAGATATGGATTGAAGTAAGAGTTTTACCGTCATATTCATAGTCCCAGCTGGGCTTCTGAATAGAGTCGCTGTCAGAGACCGAGTTGGAGGGCGGCGGCGGAGGCAGGTTGGGCGCCACGCTGCACACGGCTACCGTCTTGCGGTGTCCGTGCATCGTGTCCGGGTTGAACGTGCTGAACTCGGGGTGCTCGGGGATGGCCGAGCCCTCGAACGAGTTGCGGTCCAGGTTGTTGCGCGAGTCGCTGGGGATGCTGGGTGTGTACGAGCTGGGCCGAACAGGCACCTGCGGCGGAATGTCAGAGTAAATGTTCTTACAGAGCTTAGCATCAAAGTAGGGCCGCTGGAGGAAGGAGTGCGGCGCTCCCAAGCCTCCCGGGCTGCGCTTGTCGTCGTCAGACTTGGACTTTCTTCGGCACGGTCTCTTGCGGATGACCACGAAGAGGACGACCAGGAGGAAAATGGAGGCCACAAAGACCACAATACCAATGACTTCTTCAAGGCCGATGTTCCAGGAGGTGGAGACAAACTCGTTGCGGACCTCGGAGCGGAGTTCGCATAGCCGCCCGATGTAGCCCAGGGAGCAGTTGCAGGTATACGAGCCGTAGGTGTTCTGGCATTGGCCGCCGTTGGAGCAAGGGTTCTTCAGGCACTCGTCCACGTCACTGAGGCACCTGCAAAGCAACAAAGGACACAGAGAATAAGGAGACAGAAACACATGAACAGTAAAAGTTAGTAGTTTGGCAAATCTAGAAAAACTGGAACAACTGTGGCTTTGATCATTAAGATGGCCGCCCTTTGAGCACACATACCTGTCACCCTGGAATCCCTGTTCACACTCACACACAGGACCATCCAGACTGTCAATGCACTTCCCACTGTTTTTACAGGGGTTGTCTGTGCAGTATGGCCCCACCTGGCACCTGTAGTGTTAAATAAATATTCAATACAGCAGCCTAGACCAAATGGTAATGAAAAATAACCCATTATTTCCTGACAGTCACAAATCCAATCCTTAATACTGGTATCATAAATACAAGTATCCAATACATACTTAATTTTACAGAGAATTATCGATATGTGTGCATGTGATTTCAGTGCTGCGGAAACGCTTCATGCCATTTCCTACAGATCAGTACTTCCGGTTTTTATCAACACGAGCTCAGGCTTGATTTTAATTTCAGATTGAGCTAATAGAGTGCTAATATATGTTACTCTTGATGGAGAATATTGAGCCCTGGATATGAGCATTTTATTTAAACGGAATGATGGATTTGAGAATGCAGATAAGCCGAGATTGTTTCCTCCGCCAATATTTATACAACACATGCCAAAACAGAATATTTTTTGAAAATGAAATCCAAACATTGAAATTGGTAAGAGGGCATCATTTTTAATACCATGCTTATTACAAGTAATAAATAATTATATCTGTCAGCTTTAACAGGCACTATGTTAGCAAAAGTTAGGAAAAATGGCTCGTCTGAGCTCCCAAATCTATAATTTCATTTTAACCCTTAAACAGTCACTATGTTAATACAATTATCATATCTACATGAAAGGGATAGATCCATACCGTTGTCCTGAGTACTGCCCTCTGCACTGGCAGTAGAAGTCGTCTCCGCGTGGCACACAGGTGCCCCCGTACAGGCAGGGGTTGGAGGCACACGGGCTGATGCCAATCTCACAGTGAGTACCCATGAATGAAGCCTTGCACTTACAGAAGTAACCTGGGCAAACAGCAGAGAAGGAATAAGAAAAAGGTAGGACATTTTATTGTAATTCTAAGGTCATTTCTTGATGTCTGTGTTCACAGGGTTCTGGGGGGAAAAAATATAGTTTGTCTTTGTGGTAAAAGACATAGAGAAACTGTGTTTATTAGCATACAGGAGCTGGATAGACTGAGGAATAAAGATTATGGGTTAAACAGGTTTGGATTGTGGAATGAAGATCACAGCTGTATAACTTTGGGTTCAGAAACCCACATTTGGACGATAAAGTAATCATCTTCAAATAATCAAACGTTGAGCATTATAAGGAGACTAGGTTGAGGAGCATAACTAAGCAACTTGAATCAAAACAACTCAAAGCGACAAAAACCACAACGGGAGCTCCGTACCTCCTTTGGCCAGTGAGGAGCAGCTGCCCCCGTTGGTGCAGGGGTTGCTGGAGCAGCCCTCTGCAGCGGGCGCCAGCACACACCCGGGCGCCACGTCCACCACGTCCTCCAGCACGGCGTGGGCACCATGCGCCTTGGTGTTGAGCGGCAGCTCCTTGCCGTTTAGCACGATGGCTTCCACGCAGCCTCGGAGCCCATTGGTGACGGGCAAGCTGCGGCCGTGGCGCCCAGCGGTGGAAGAGGCGTGCTGGCGCACGTGCCCGCCAAAGTAGACGCTGTTGTCTAGGTTGAGTGTGCGCAGAGTACCGGGCGCTGTGCCCGAGGCGGCGTGTACGCGGTCCAGGACTAGTTTGGCGTAGTTGCCATCCACCTCAAGGGTGACCGTGTGCCAGTCGCCGTCGTTGACCTGGGTGCTGTGTACAGAGACGATTCCCGGGCCGCTGCCGCAGTCAAACTTGTACTGCAGGCGGCCATTCACAATCTGACAGAAGGAGAATGGGACAGAGAGAGAAAAAGGAGAAAAATAAGTTAAGCCCCATCCAGATACAACCGTTAGTCCCGACCCACCATAGCAACTTTTGTAGATCTAACCAGACTGGATAACTAGAAGCTACCATAATATTGTTTAGACCTTGAGATGCATAATGTGAACGTTAAGGTCTAGTTTCATGAAGAGCACAATCTCGTACCATTGACTACTGTACAGTCTACACACACAGATATTTAATGCCATATTACTACTATTCTCAGTATCTAGTCTAGAGGTACAGTATCTTACAGTTGACCGGGGCAGCTCTAGCAGGGCAGAAATTTGACGAACTGACTTGTTGGAATGGTGGCATCCTATCACGGTGCCACGTTGAATATCTCTGCGCTCTTCAGTAAGGCCATTCACTGCCAATGTTTGTCTATGGAGATTGCATGGCTGTGTGCTCGATTTAATACACCTGTCAGCAACGGGTGTGGCTGAAATAGCTGAATTAATTTGAACAGGTGTCCACATACTTTTGTATACATAGTGTATCTTACAGTATGACATTATGTCTTGTGATATCATGTAATATTCAAATCAGTAGGCTAACTCCCTTGGAGCCCTAAGCTGGGTCCCAAATGGCACCCTATTCCCTATATAGTGCACTACTTTTGACCAGAGCCCTATGGTAGTGCACTATGTAGTGAATAGCTGATCCTCTGGCACCCAGACAGTCCCCCGGAGAGGAATGTGTGAGAAAGTGCGTTCCGCTTCCCTCCCAGCATTCCCTGAAAATAGCAGGGCTATGTGTTGTTTGACATGCAGCCCACCACCGCATTCCCAGAGCCCTTTCACGTGAGGATCAAAAATGGCCGACTAAGACAATCAGCACACAGCAGGGTGGCCCCCAGGGGAGGTCCTGGCAGCTAGCGCTTATCAGGCAGTTTCCTACACAGGATAACATGGACTAATATGGTGATTGGGCATGGGACTGGGAGCGGGAGCAGCAGACTCAGAATAAATTGGATAGTAACCATAGCACAGACAAGAAAGGGGTTAGTTTACTGTGATTTCATGCCCAAGCCGGGAAAAAGACTATGGTGGACTTGAAATGGTGTGGGATGGTGATTTTTTTATAACACTTATTTCACACACACACACACACACACACACACACACACACACACACACACACACACACACACACACACACACACACACACACACACACACACACAGATAGAAGAAGTAGCTAGAATCTAGAATCTGGCGCTTTCTCACATGGACACGCGCGCACCATGTTTGACCTTTGACCCACCTCCAGGATGCTGTAGTCGGTGCCCTTGGCGTACATGACGGTGGCGTGGCTGGAGAAGGTCCTCAGCCTGAGGGAAAGCTTCATCTCCTCCTTGTTCTCATTCTCCATCAGACGGTACTTGACATAGCCCGTCCCGCTGAACGTCAGGGACTGGCCGTCTGGGAGGAAGGGGGGGAGAGATAAAGAGAGGTAAGGATAAGTATGGGAGGGGGGAGAAATAGAGGAGGGAGAGAGCGATAACGAGACAGTGAGAAAACAAACAGTAGGTTCATATATACTCATTTGACAGCTTCATATCAGTGAGCGAGAGGGAGAGAAAGAGGGAGAGAGAGAGAGACAGAGGGAGATAGGGAGAGAGAGAGAGAGGGAGAGAGAGAGACTGAGAGAGAGGGAGATAGGGAGAGATAGAGATAGAGAGAGGGAGAGAGAGAGATAGAGAGAGAGAGAGAGAGAGAGAGAGAGAGAGAGAGAGAGAGAGAGAGAGAGAGAGAGAGAGAGAGAGGAGAGAGAGAGAGACTGAGAGAGAGATAGAGAGAGGGAGAGAGAGAAAGAGAGAGCGAGGGAGAGAGAGAGAGTTAGATAGGATGAGAGGTGTGTCTGGTCTTACCGGAGCACTTGCCCTGCTTGCCACCATCTGGACACACACAGCTATACTTGGCCTCCTTCTGCTCTGTCACACACTCCATGCCCTCTGGGCAGGGGTTGGCATCACACAGCTTGTTCACTGTGGGGCATTTGCCACCTGGAACAACAACGCATATGGGTTAAGAGCCAAGATGAAGCTAGGATGGCGTGGGGTCAGAGGGTAGGGGCGTGTGTATGGGGGGGTGTGGTGGTTTAGGTGTGTGTTTGTGTGTGATGGGGTGGGAGGGGTAAAGGTGTGTGTGTTTGTGCCTGTGTACGTCTCTGTGTGTGTCTGTCAGTACCTTCACATTGACAGGTAGCCGTGCGCTGGTGTCGTGGCGTGACGAAGCTGAGGCGGGCCGTGCTATAGGTGGACATGGTCGTCTTGTCCAGGCTGATGACCTCGTCGCAGAAGCGCAGTGGGCAGTCCAGGCCGGCGCACAGCTTCTTGACCACACGCACGATGCGCACGCCCGTCATCTCCTCGATGACCGCCGCAGACGAGTTGAGCTTGCGGAAGACCACCTTAAAGCAATAGTAAAGACCTTAAAAAGACTGAAAGATCGACTTGAAGCCCTTACATGGACATATTAATTTAAATGTAACATATTGCAGCGAATTCGGGGGTAGCCCTGGCCGGGACTCTAACCCGGGTCCAGCAACCGTCAACCCAAAACATTAGCCATTACACCAAGAGATCTACCGGAGTTGCTAGATGTTATTTTGGTGCGTACCGCCTTATGATTGCATTTTACTATTCTTTATGATGAATTCTATAGTTTTGATTCTATTTCACCACTGTAAATACATTATGTCAATTTCTATGGTTACCGGTGTCTTCTTTTCTTACTTTTATGTTAGTATTAGAAAGACCACCATTTTAAAAGCTATTCATACAGTGTGCCATATTATATGTTATGCTAAACTAATATGTGATGTTAGTATTAGAAAGACCACCATTTTAAAAGCTATTCATACATAGTGTGCCATATTAAATGTTATGCTAAGCTAATATGTTATGTTAGTAGAAGAAAGACCACCATTTAAAAAGCTATTCATACATAGTGTGCCATATTATATGTTATGCTAAGCTAACATATTATCATATACGTTATTGGTATTATTATCGGTATTATAACCTCATAAACTAGTGAACAAAGTCATTATCGTTGCTACATATTGATAGTGTGTGACTGCTGGTCTAGGATCAGTTTTGCCTTTCAGATCACAATTAATAGGATGATATGGACAGGGGGGAGGACCTGATCCCAGATCAGCACTCCTACTCTGAGACGTTTTGGGAATACGAGCCATGGTCATGTTTTTACCTCCTGTGGCTGGTAGGGACTCCCAGACTTCTCCAGAGCCAGTAGAACATCCAGGTCTCCTGTCCCCTGCTCTGAGGGCTGCAGACTAACCAGCTGCACCTCGCTGCGTCTCACCCCCGCTATATTCCTCAACGCCCGCTGGAACGTACGCCAGTAGTCCCCGACGAACTCCTCGGGCGCGATGGCGGCGAAACGCACGGCGATGGAGTTGTCCAGCGCCTGGCGGGTCGCTTGGCGCACGTGCACGTTCACGTCGGCCGTCGCCGAAAAGCGCCCGTCTGTGACGGTGACGTTGAGCGGGTAGTGGCCCACGTCGAGCGGGCGCCGGGCGATGACTTTGCCGTCCGAGGCGGAGACGGTGAACAGAACGTCTTCGGCGTTATCCGAGGATGATGAAGGTGCGAGACTGTAAGTTAGCGTGTCGTAAATGTCCTGGTCGGTGGCGTGGATTTTGCCGAGCACGCCGCCAGGGTATTCCTCGCCGGCGACAGAGATGTAGATGTCCAACGGGAAGACAGCGGGCGGGTAGACACTCTCGTCGATGACCCGGATGCTGATGTAGGCCGTGGAGAGGAGCTGGGGCTTGCCGCTGTCAGCCACCTGGAGGGAGAGAAGGGAGATGAGAGAGGGATGAGTCACACTTTGCGTCTGTTGCAAAAGAGAGAGAGAGAGAGAGAGAGAGAGAAACAAATTGTGCGGTGACCCAACCAAAAGCTTTCATGTGATTTTCTTGTGATTATCAACAACTCATACTATGACTTAGGCCTAGTTATAAAATGTATCCAAAACTTAAGACACAATTCACCTATTTTACTGTTGTCATTCATCAAGTTAACAAAAGTAATATTTCGAACAAGGTATGAGCCCAAATAACTGCCACTATTTTGGCAATAATGTTAAAGCAGACTGACCCAACTATCACTCTGCAATCCCCATATCACCCATACATGGGTAATACCATAACTATGCTAGACCTATGATTGACTATCACTCCTTCAGTTGCATGTTAGTTAGTTAGTTTATTATACTCTATGATCATTGGCTTATCTTAGAAGACAAACCAAATGACATACACAGTACAGCAAAAACCCAAGACAAACGTTCCAAGTATCTTTGCCATTCATTTTGCTATATGGCTTTATGCAGCTCCACTTACCCACAGTAGAGGGAGCCTGTGCTCTCCTCATGCTGAACCTCCCCATTCATCAATGCTCAAGTCAAAATGTACTACCTGCAGAATGACTAAGGTCCTACGTGCTCAGACAAATGAACATCCACCTGAATTTCAAAGGCATTTACACGTCCAGAGATGCTGCAGTATTTTGAGTCCATCCAAAAAATGACATCGACAACCCCAAAAAACCGAGCTACATCTGGAGTGTTCAAGAGGATTACCAAACGTTAGCAGAGAAATACACAGTGTAGAACAGAAATGGCTGTCTGTCAGACAGAATAGGGAAACCGTCTCAGCTCTATTCAATCTATTTCTATCTGCGACATTCAGAACGTTAGTCTGAGTCGAGAAATCGCACTTCTTTCTCATCCGCCTACTTCTTTTCTCCTCGGAGAGAGAGGACAGTAGTTCACCGACTGGCAACACGCGCGTTGGCTGCGGAGCTCTCCACTATGCCTCTCATGTGAGATATTCTGCCTTGCACTCTGACTCACTCGGTGCATTTTGTAATTTTTTTTATACATGGTGATTCTTTCGATTTGACGCTATAGATCTTGTCATCCTTTTGATGTTTCTAAGAGAGGTTTATCACAGTGGGCAGCTGCAGAGGAGGCTATTTAACACATACAGAGAGAGAGATAGAGAGTAGGGAGAGGAAAAAAGGTAAACATAAGTATAAGTATTATGGGGGAGTAGAGGGGGTGGAGAGAGAGAGAGAGAGAGAGAGAGAGAGAGAGAGAGAGAGTAGATAGAGAGAGGATACAGATAGAGACAAAAGAAATACAGAGAGAGATCCAGATAGAGAGAGAAAGAGAGAAAGAGAGAGAAAGAAAGATACAGAGAGAGAGAAAGAGAGATACAGAGAGAGAAAGAGATACAGAGATATAAGAGATACAAGTAAAGAAAGAGAAGATAGACAGTAAAGAAAATAGAGATACAGAGAGATAGAAAGAGAGATACAGAGAGAGAAATAGAGATACAGAGAGAGAGAAAGAGAGAGAGCGAGATACAGAGATACAGAAGAGAAAGAAAGAGAATAGAGATATAAAGAGATAGAGAAAGTAGATATAGAAGATAGATAAATAGAATAGAGAAGAGAGAAAAGAAAGAGATACAGAGATAGATAGATAGAGAGAGAGAGATACAGAGAGAGAAAGAGAGAGAGATCCAGAGAGAGAGAAAGAGAGAGAGAGAGACAGTAAGAGAGGGAAAGAAAGAGAAAGTGAAGGAAGGAAACACATTAATAGAGAGGGAGAGGAAGTGACCAACCAATACCATGCCTTGTCTCTCCATATGCTCCTATAGTACCTGGACATTCAGTAGGTAGTTCTCCTTGGTCTTCCTCTTCAGCTCTTCCACCACTAGCAGCGCCCCCTGTTGGTTCACCTCGAACACACCGCCCTCGTTGCCGTCGACAATGGTGAAGGCGAACGGCGGCCCGTTGTGTGTGGCGTCCCGGTCGGTCACAATGAGCTGGACAACACTAGTCCCCATTGGACGATTCTCCTGCAAGAGAAGGAAGTGGTTTAAACTTTATAGTATTCAGGGGTACTGTAGGCAGTAAGGAATGCTTGATACGTTTGTAGGTGTGTGGGAGAGCAGGAGAGGGGAAGGGATGTGAGAAGCAATCTTGTGAAGCAATCTTTTTCTCCTCAAAGGCTAAGTAATTTTTTCGGTGTGCGTATGTGTGTGTGTGCACAGATACCAAATCCCTATATCAGATTTCAGACTTTCTCCGAAATTACGTTTCTGGTTTTCACTGTGGCTCCTCAAAACTCAAGACAGAGATAGATACCTGACGGTGCATCAACTATCCTTATTTGCCCAATCTCTCCCTCCTCTCATCCCTCCCTCCCTCCCTCCTCTCATCCCTCCCTCCCTCCCTTCCTCTCATCCCTCCCTCCCTCCCTTCCTCTCATCCCTCCCTCCCTACCCTCATCCCTCCCTCCCTTCCTCTCATCCCTCCCTCCCTACCCTCATCCCTCCCTCCCTCCTCTCATCCCTCCCTCCCTACCCTCATCCCTCCCTCCCTCCCTCCCTCCCTCCCTCCTCTCATCCCTCCCTCCCTACCCTCACTCCCTCCCGCCCTCCCTACCCTCATCCCTCCCTCCCTCCCTCCCTACCCTCATCCCTCCCTACCCTCATCCCTCTCCTCCCTCCCTCCCTCCCTCCCTCCCTCCCTCCCTCCATCCCTCCCTCCCTTCCTCCCTACTCTCATCCCTCCCTCCCTCCCTGATACAAAACAATGCATCTTTCCTCCTTATTTACTATGGTCTTTCGAATCCTTCCACCTTCAGTCATCTCACCCCTTCTTTCTTCACTTCCTCCCCCATCCCTCTCTTCTTCTTACGTCTCCTCTCACCAACTCTGCTCTCCATATTTCCCAGCACCTTTCCCTCTTTACCACCTTCACTACCCTCCTCCCTCCCTCCCTCTCTTCTCACCTGGATGATGAGGCTGTAGTTGGCAGGGGAGAAGAGGGGCGGGTTGTCGTTGACGTCAGACACGTCGATGTTGACCGTGGCGCTGCTGGAGCGGGCCGGAACGCCGTTGTCCAACGCCAGCACCGTCAGGGTGTATCCCGATGTCTGATGGGGGAGGGAGGGAAGAGACAGAGAGAGAGAAGGAGAGGAGGGAGAGAGAAGAGAGAGAGAGAGGAAGAGAGAGAGAGAGGAAGAGAAGAGAGGAAGAGAGAAGAGAGACAGAGAGAGAGAGCGAGAGCGAGAGAGAGAGCGAGAGAGAGAATTAATAATCATTCTCTGTACTGCTTTTGTAAGCGATAATGCAAAGCTGACTGGTAAACTGGCTGCTTTTAAGTTTGATTGCAGTCTTCAGTGCAATTAAAGTGTCACTGAAGACAGAATTAGATATCCACACACACACACACAAATGCATATATTTAGACACACACATAAATGAATATGTGAAGTAGCATAAATACATTGTCACACATATTCACCCACCCCCCCACACAGACATGAACTTCACAGACATTTCACAGATACGCATTTTAATGTATTTACATCAACGCCCAACCATTATAGAGTTGAATGTTTCACCATACCGTCTCTCTGTCTAGCTGGCGTGCCACTTTGACCTCTCCCCTGATTGGGTCAATGGTGAAGGGACTGCCCTGGTTCCCCTCCACGATGGAGTAACGCACGTGGTTATAGGCTGGCCCGTCTGCATCCTCCGCCATCACCTACGACCCGGGAGAACAGGAGAAAGGAAGAGTTACGACCAGCCGCCCGAGGACGACACACACACCTGCTCTGACACGAGACACGAGATGTTCACACACACACACACACACACACACCTGGCCTGTATTGAAATGGATCCCAGGGGAAATCAGGGGACGGAGAGGATTCACACGTGTGTGACACGGGCAGGTTTAAAATTCCCATTTAACGACGGATCATTTATATTCATGTTGATTAGACACAGTTTAGAATTGGACACAGGGGAAGAATAAGGGACAGGAGGGGTGAGGGAAGAGGTGTTGGGATGTATAGAAAAAGGGGGAAGGGGAGAGAAAGGTGACGTGCAGGGAGAGAGAGAGGAAGAGAAGGAGAGGGGGACAGTGAGAAAGGGACGGCTTAGTGAGTCACCTGTCTTCAATTCATTATTGTGTGTGTGTGTGTTTGTTACAGTAGGCCGAGCATGAAGAGCGGAGGAGGAGGTCCTCATTTAATTCTGCACCACCAGAAGGTGATCTAACACAGCAACTGATACGTGACGGACATACATACACACACAGAGAGAGAGAGAGAGAGAGAGAGAGAGAGAGAGAGAGAGAGAGAGAGAGAGAGAGAGAAGAGAGACAGAGACAGAGACGAGACAACAGAAGGAGACATAGAGAGACATACAGAGGACAGACAGAGAGAGACAGACAGAACAGACCGAGACGACAGACAAGACAGACATACAGACAGACAGACACAGACAGAACAGACAGACAGACAGAGAGAGACAGACAGACAGACAGACAGACAGACAGAGAGAGACAGACAGACAGAGAGAGACAGACAGAGACACAGACACAGACAGATAGACACACACAGACATACAGACAAGAAATGAAGACGACAGAGAACAGACAACAGACATACAGAACAGCAGAGAGAGATATAGAGAGAGAGAGATATACTAACAGACAGCCGTGAGATGATACAAGAGAGAGACAGGACACAACAACTGACAGAGACACAGACAAGACAAGTGAGAAGAACCAGACAGACAGACAGACAAGAACAACAGACAGACCAAGCGATGAAGAGACACATACAGAGAGAGAGAGACAGACAGACACAGACAGAGCAAGAGACACTGACAGACAGAGAGAGAGAGAGAGAGAGACAGAGAGAGAGAGAGAGATACAGAGGCGGGGGAATCACTGCAGTAAAAAAACATTTATAGGTTCCAACACAAACAGAGACTCTAATTTATTCCTTTAGCAATTTTGTATGTAGTTTTTTTCTAGTTGTGAAGGGAAACACCAGACCAAATGATCAGAATGGTCATGCATTGGTCAACTCACCGCCACCACGTCTTGCCGGGCTCGGCGTCCTCGGCCACCACGGCGGCGTAGGTTGCCTGGCCGAAGGCGGGGCTGTTATCGTTGACGTCCGTCAGGTTGATGTTGACCGTGGCCATGTCGCTGAGCGGCGGCGTGCCCCCGTCCGTGGCCTCCACCGTCAGGTAGTACTCGTGGGACACCTCGAAGTCCAGCGGCTCGATGACGAAGATGTCACCTGGAGAGGAGAGGAAAGAGGGAGAATAGGACAGTTGGGAGAAGATTACATTCCTGTCCAATGTACACAACAGAAATATAATCTGCTACATCCCCTTTGAAACACAGGTTGACGTTTACTGAGAGATTTCCCCTTAGATAGGCCAACTGCAAAGTCAAAATTGGCTATATTGTAAAAATTCATAAAAACAAAAATGAGCTTTTTGGTCTTCATTTAAGGTTAGGCATTAGGGTTAGCAGTGTGGTTAAGGTTAGGGTTCAAATCCGATTTTATGACTTTGTGGCTGTGCCAGCTAGTGACCACTCTGCAGAGCTGCTTCCAGATCAAAATTCTTTACAAAAAACGCTAACCTGCCTTTGAAACACACACATACACACAAAGAGGTTGGAGAAGATGGTAGTCATACTATGGAGCCCCTGGCGATTGGGGAGACATATAAAGAAGAGGGGAGAGGAGAGGTAGAAGGGGGAGACTAGAGGGGCAGAGAGAGAGAGAGAGAGAGAGAGAGAGAGAGAGAGAGAGAGAGAGAGAGAGAGAGAGACAGAGACAGAGACAGAGACAGAGACAGAGACAGAGACAGAGACAGAGACAGAGACAGAGACAGAGAGAGAGAGACATACCAGTCCGAGGGTCGACACTGAACATGCCGTGCTCGTTCCCGCTCACGATGGCGTAGGCGATCTCCCCGTTGGCCTCGATGTCCCGGCTGGCGGCGTGCACCCTCAGCAACTGCGTGCCCACCGCCACGTCCTCCGACACGGCCGCCACATACTCGCGGTGCTCGAACACGGGCGGGTTGTCGTTGATGTCCAGCACGGAGACCGTGACGCGGGAGAGGGACGAGAGGCGGCGAGGGGAGCCTTGGTCGGAGGCGCGCGCTTTGAGCTCGTACACGGCCTGCGCCTCGCGGTCCAGGGGCTTTTTTAATGCGACGACACCGGTACGCTCGTCCACGGAGAAGTGGCCGTCAGCCGAGTCGGCGAGAGAGTAGAGGATGTCGCTGTTCAAGCCTGGGAGGAGACAGAGAGAGATAGAGATAATGTTAAAAACATGTGGACTAAAATAAAAGTAATATATAGAATCTGATAATCTGATATAAGAGCAGTAGACTAACATTATTCTGAGTGGCAGTTCATTATCGGTTTGCGTTTGTTTGAAAGCAAAACCGTAAACAATCCAAACATTAAATAATATAATCTGCATGTACATTCTCAGCAATACAGTCACAAACTCCAATACTTTTTAATATCAAACTTTCAACATAATATACCCTTTTCACCAACCAAAAGCATGAACAAGACAAACATGCAAGTCACGTCGTCCTCGTAATAACACCTTGCCTCTTCCCGACAGGGCGGTCCGAAAACGAGACGGATGTGGACAATAACCATAATGCCTTTTTGCAGGTGGCCCACATCTCTTTCTCTCACTCACACACACACACACACACACACACACACACACACACACACACACACACACACACACACACACACACACACACACACACACACACACACACACACACACACCCCTCCTCCTGCATCTCATTAAGACTAAGGAGACTAAGGCACTGCATCGCAGTGCTAGCTGTGCCACTAGAGATCCTGGTTCGAATCCAGGCTCTGTCGTAGCTGGCCGCAACCGGGAGACCAATGGGGCGGCGCACAATTGGCCCAGCGTCGTCCAGGGTAGGGGAGGGAATGGCCGGCAGGGAGGTAGCTCAGTTGGTAGAGCATGGCGTTTGCAACGCCAGGGTTGTGGGTTCGATTCCCACGGGGGGCCAGTATAAAAAATAAAATAATAATAATAATCAAAAAAAATAATAATAATGTATGCACTAACTGTAATTCGCTCTGGATAAGAGCGTCTGCTAAATGACGTAAATGTAAATGTCTCAAATGGCACCCTATTCAATAGTGCACTACTTTTGACCAGAGTCCTATGGGCCCTATTCAAAAGTGGCCGCCTTGTGAGCCCTGGTCACATAAAGGGAACAGGGTACCATTGGGACACACCTTTTGTCAGCGGGAGCCCGGTTTATTGCCACCTGTTGGTCCCAGTCACCATCGCTTTTATCAGACCAAATTACTCTGCCGACAGAAATTGCTTGATGACGGTTAAGTGGATTGCGCCAAATCATTAAGCAATCTCGACTCACGTCACTAGACGAGTATACTTCATATCCAGTCTTCTGAAGGTTTTCTCCAAGACTGGGGGTCTGATTCAACCACACCTGATTTTGTAAGTTTATGCAGTACCTTATTTAACTGCTATTAAAAATTACAACTTTTATCCAAAATCAGTCTGCCATTTTACTTAACCACAGGCAAACAAAATGTTTAAACGCTAACTGACTAACTCCAAATTCTGCACCGTGGGTTTGATTGAACTGCGCCTTCGGAAGACAGCATTCGTTGAAACTTTATCGACAGTGGTAGCAATGACGTTCCTCCTCAACCCAAAGTGGCAGGAAAGCTTGTTTACGTCTAGTATGAGCCGCATGAACGCTGGGATGGACAGACAAGGAAGAGAAAGAAAAGAAACCACTTCAGAACATAACAGCTGGGGAGAGAGAGATAGGGGGATAGAGGAAAGAGTGAGAGAGAAAATAAAGAGAAAGAGAGAGAGAGAGAAGAAACAGAGAAAGGAATGTGTTAGCATAACTTCTCCCTTTAAAGCAATTTAAGGTCACCAACCAGCTTCCTGGTTTGTCTGGTTCTTTCCCCAAGACTGATAAGAAACCATTTTGTGAAACGCAGCCATGGCAGTGGGCACACAGCAGGGGCAATGACGCAAGTAAGTATGAAAGTATCCAACCTCGTCAACCCAAATGAGCCAAACTAGATAGCACAACTTGTGCAGGGAACCGGCAGTGCTCCAAATGTGTCAACATTTGAAGCAAAGAGATACTCTGAGTCTCAAATATTGATGGTCCTGCCCGACTAGCGAATGATTCCTCTATCTATTCGACAATAGAGGTCTGACACGCACGCAAGTGCACACAACAGACAATGGAGTTATGCATACTGATGAATCAGTCCAATGGCAGCTGGCTGAGTGAGTGAGGACTGCGTGACCTGGACTGTGGCAAAATTGGTATTTTGTCTAATTTTTACATTTACATTTTAGTCATTTAGCAGACGCTCTTATCCAGAGCGACTTACAGTTAGTTAGTGCATACATTTTCATACTGGTCCCCCGTGGGAATCGAACCCACAACCCTGGCGTTGCAAACGCCATGCTCTACCAACTGAGCTACACGGGTCTCGTCAGAGTTGTCATAGATGGCCTTGACTGTGTTATTTCCCTGCAGGGGAGGCTGTTGATAAAGATACAAACTAGAACTCTACACATCTGTGTGTGTGATACCAACACGTGTGAAGGGAATGCAAATCCAATCTCTCTCTCTCTCTCTCTCTCTCTCTCTCTCTCTCTCTCTCTCTCTCTCTCTCTCTCTCCCTCTCTCCCTCTCTCTCTCTCTCTCTCTCTCTCTCTCTCCCTCTCCCTCTCCCTCTCCCTCTCTCCAATACAGCTCCAAATGATCTGAAATGTGCCTCCGGCTAAAATTGGGGGAGGGAGGGGAGGAGGGAGGGGAGAACCTAATTTCCCCTCTCCTCCTTTCAGATATCCTTTATGTTCGCACGGAGGTAGGGCGGACTTTAGGAATTCCGTGCTAGTGTGCCAACCCTGGGGGAAGAGCTGTCGAAAAAGCAGGCCCCCTTTAGCGCTTCGACTTTCTGAGCAAACAAACGAGCGTCCCCGTTCTTACATCCCATTCAATCCGTCAAACTGTTAGTTTACCTGAAGGACTGAGAGAGATGGAGGAAGGGAGGAGGGGGGTGAGAAAGGGAGAGAGAGAGAGCTTCTCTTCATCCGTACCTAGGCTTTTGAAGGGAACAGGCTAACACGCTCCCCTAGTCTAGAACACGTTGCCCTGTGAGAGGAGAACATATCTAGTCAAATTGGTAGTACCGCTAAATGCACAAATCATGTCCCATTTTAGGGGAGTTTGGTAATATTACACCTCTTGAGTTTAAATATGGCCGCCACACTGACGCTTTCAACTGTCCTCTATTTGAGGGAGTTTTGGGAAGCAAATGTTTTCATTTCAAAGCGGCTGCTCCTGCTTAGGTGGGTTTCCTGAAAGATGAAGACAATATATGCCAGGTAGTAGATGCTTTTATCCAAAGCGACTAACAGTAGTGCATGCATATATTTTCGTATGGGTGGCCCCAGCGGGAATTGAACCCATGATCCTGAAGTTGTAAGCGCCATTCTCTACTGGACCACAAACACAAAAACACAAAAGTCATAGAAGACTATGAAGGGAAGGTGTGGGTTGTGACTTACCCACCGGCAAATGGCAAATAGAAAATGGCCATTAGGCCTTTACAGAATCGAGTGCTCGAGGAGAATAGAATTTCATCCATGAAATTCTATTTCTCCCTATCATTGTTTTGCAACATAAGAGTCTGGTGTAAAACAGAGTGGGGATTACTGTGATACTGTGGAGTCGGAATTGCAGGGGAAAAGCAATGCAGCTTTATTTCTCAGCAGAAAGATGAATTATTAAGTGACTTGCCTGCTCACAAACAAAGATGACGTGGTTCAAATTCAACTAAGTTTACTGACTGATAACATCGAGCGCCATAGTGTCAATCAGACATGGGCACTGTCAATAGTAAGAAGAAACGTACTGTGCCTGTGCACAACGTAGAAAACACCAGGTGTAGATCAGAGAGCTTAGCATTGCCTGGTGGAAGACTGGTCAAATAAGAACAACAAACAAATACTCATTTGTAAATAAACAAACAAACGTACCGGTGTCGAGGTCGGTGGCGAGCAGCCGTGCCACGAAGGTGCCGACCTCCGTGTTCTCGAAGACGGTGATGGCGTAGGGGTCGGAGGTGAACTGTGGCGCGTTGTCGTTCACGTCCTCCACGGCCAGGTGCACGGCCGCCTCGCAGTAGCGCCCGCCGCCGTCTAGTGCCCGCACTGTCAGACGGTACTCGTCCTGCTCCTCGCGGTCCAGGGGCTGCTGGGTCTTCAGTTCACCTGGGAAATGGAACAGGGAGAAAGAATGTGTCAATCAATGGGGCAGGCAAACACACACACACACACGTCAATCACACACAAGTCGTTAAAAGTGAAGATATACACACACACACACACACAGGCTTGTTAAAAGCTCTTGCAATCCACACCCACTTTTACACGGTATGGCGCTTGCGAGTTGCACTCTTTAAAAAAAGGTCATGTTTTACAAGGAGAGATAGTGTTAGAACTGCATCCTCCACCTACCCCATGCCCCTCCCAAGAAAGCATCAAAATGAAACGCAAGTAAAGCTAAATGGTCTCTGAGCCATTTAGTTCGGTGTAGAGTGCCCCTAGACCAGGGGTGTCAAACATAAACCGATTTAATGCAGCCCACGGCTGGTTTGAGTTAAAAAAAACTAAATCGATACTGTGTACAAATGATAATGGACCTCCATTTATAAAGTCTCTTCAGAGAATTCACTCTGTCCATCTTGTTAACTATCACCAAAACAAAGGTTAAGGGAAGCTGATCTGTAACTTTTTAATTTTTTTTATTTCACCTTTATTTAACCAGGTAGGCCAGTTGAGAACAAGTTCTCATTTACAACTGCGACCTGGCCAAGATAAAGCAAAGCAGTGCGATAAAAACAACAACACAGAGTTACATATGGGGTAAAACAAAACATAAAGTCAAAAATAAAACAAAATATATATACAGTGTGTGCAAATGTAGCAAGTTATGGAGGTAAGGCAATACATAGGCTATAGTGCAAAATAATTACAATTAGTATTAACACTGGAATGCTAGATGTGCAAGAGATGATGTGCAAATAGAGATACTGGGGTGCAAATGAGCAAAATAAATAACAATATAGGGATGAGGTAGTTGGGCGGGCTAAATTCAGATGGGCTGTGTTAGCTGGGTTAGTTCCGAAAACTTTTACAAACTTGTCGTGCTCATGTCCACACACCTCTATTTTTAACTTGGGATTAGCCACTTCAGTGCTTTCAGAAGTAACACTCTTCTCACAGATCCCTGAGTCAGACGTGTGTGTGTGTGTGTGTGTGTGTGCCTGTGTGTGTGTTATAAGACCTCATATCCTCTTGTATGCCACAAACCCCTTCCCCTGATCCAAGCGTCCAACCCTCATCCAAACAACTAATGGTTTTCAGAAGAGGATGGAGAGAAATCAATCAATAATTGACAGAGAGGAAGCGAGGGGGGGGGGGGGGGCGAGGGAATACGCAGGAGGACAGGAGTAGTTGGCAGCTAAGAGCAGCTAGGAGGTGTCCTGGGATATGGCGCACGCCAACATTACCAGGGCCTCGCTGGACTCACATGTGCTCCCACACATGCAAACAAACTGCCGAAACTAACAAAACCTCTTAGCGTTCCTCGCATGCATTAATCCTCCATCTCTGTACAGAAAAAGGACCCCCTCTCGATACTCTGACTAAATCCACTCCGCAACAGTAGCTCTCCTTCTCCTCCTTTGGGCCAAACTAAAAGAACACTCTTTTTCTCTCTGCTTGTCGCTGGCTCATAACGAGGTATCAAAGTACGTCTGAACTTGATCCACAATAAAGGGGCTGTTGTTGTGTTGTACAAGTACGGGGCTGCTCTCTCGGTCTCTAGCTTACTCTACACTGCTGCTGTCTTGTTTCTTCATAACCCTCTCTCTCCCTTCAGAAATAAACCAATGTACCATTTCTTTTTTTAGTGTGGGGGTTAATGGGAGCTAACTGGTTTTGTGTTTTCTAGAGTTTGACTCATGTCATTCAATTTTGTCTCCGCTTTCTGCAGAGGAGACTCGAAACCTTCAGGCGAGTACGATGTCGCTTGTATGTTAGATGAAACTCGGGTTCTTAGCGTCATGGCTCGCTACCCCTCCGGGGAAATGTTCTGGGGCAAATTACATGAAAATAATAATCAAAAGGAGGTGACGTAAACCAAATCCACCTTGCCACTAGATACACACACTGGGCTGGATGGATTATAATTCAATCAGAAAGTGTGCAGTGTGCATGACTGGCGTTCACACTGGGGGTTATTACTGTGTCTGTTTGTGATGTTACAGAGCGAGGCAAAAGACAGGGTTCGGGAGTTTAGTTTTGTTAGGGTCAAACATCAAATCATGGCATTGTAAAACTGGTGTGTGTGTGTGTGTTTGTGTGTGTGTGTGCGTTTGTGTGTATGTATGTATGTGTGGGTTAGTGTCGCACGTCATGCTGCCATCACGCACCCATGCACATTTGATAGTCATAATAGTCAGAATAACCTTGGACATGCCGTGAATCGAAACTGGATGAATCCGAGTGCAGTGCAGCCATTTGAAATGACTTGAATCGACTCTACACTGTGGCAGACATGGTCCTGTGGTTTTTTGATTTTGATTAGCTGTATGGTAGCATGGGAAGACTAGTCAACACATTGAGTGTGTTGAGGTGTAACACAGACAGACAGAGAAGCAGACAGACAAACCAACACACACACACACACACACACACACACACACACACACACACACACACACCTGTGTCGGGGTCGATGGTGAAGAGCTCGGCTCCCGGTCCCTGGAGCTCGTAGGAGATGTGGGCGTTGGAGCGGATGTCTGCGTCCGTGGCCGAGACCTGCAGGATGAGCCTGCCGGCTGGGAAGTCCTCGGGGACCCTCTCTGTGTAGAGGGACTGGCGGAGCGGAGAGAGAGAGAGGGGAGAGAGAGAAAGGGAGGAAGAGAGAGTGTGTGGGCGTGAAGAGGGAAGAAGAGGGGGAAAGGTGTCAGAAGGGAGAAAAAAGATTGATGGAGAAAAGTAGGGGCGGACAGAGAGAAGTAAAAAGTTTGAATATGCAAGAATAAGCATAATTCAATAGGTAGAATAACAAGAAGGGAGGAAATGGAGAGAGGGGTAGAAAGAAAATACATTACAATCACAGCAGCACCATCATTGTAAGCACTTAAACCACAATACAAATCAGCAATGGAAATACATCAGCTGGTAAAAAAAGCCCTTGATGTAAGAAAATTACCCCTTAATTTCCGCTTGCCTTTCCCTCGACGACAAACCTTTCCAAACCTCTTATTTTCCTCCCTCGCTCCCTCCCTCCTTTCTCCCAGGTACTTGTCATGCATAGCGTGTACCCCCACACGCCGATAACATGACATTTTTTAGCGGGCTGCCTTCTCTTTACCTTCTCGCAAACAGGGCTGTTGTCGTTGGCGTCCAGGACTTTGACCTCGACCACGGCCTTGGTGGCAAAGGTGCCGTCGGTGGCGGTGATATTTAGGAGGTAGTTGTCACGCTCCTCGCGGTCCAGTGGCTTCCTGACAGACACTTTCCACTCGTTCTGGAGGTGCTCGATCGCAAACTGTCCTAGAGGGTCGCCTCCTGTATGGGGAGAGAGTTAACGAAGAGCGAGTCATTGCGGAGAGTCAATGGGGAGAGTGGCATTCAAACTAATGAACAATGTGCCACAATACGGCCCCTGCCTGATTTCGAGAGGGCTAGTGGTTTTGTTTGTGTGTGTGCGTGTGTGTGTGCGTGTGTGTGTGTGTGTATCTCAAGGGTGTGTGTTCGTCTGTTAGTGGACTGTACTGCATCATACATCAATGAGCCTTTCCATTAGGGTTAGTCTTGGAATCAGAGAAGATCTTATCCTGTGAGTGTAGTGAAGCTCAAAGAGGAACTGCATCCATGTCTACCAGTTATCACTTCCTATTTCAAAAGCTGTCCGCTGGTCAGAGTCGTGCTCAGCCCCGGGCTCTTTATAGTGCCTGAGCAAATCTACCTCAGGTAACGTTTATATTATTCATTTATCATAACAACTTCAAATTGCAAACCCACATTCATGAAGTAAGTATGTTCGGTACACAGGAAACCATAATTGTTGTGTAGTAGGAAATGTGCATCCAAGCTAATATGAGAGCTAATTCCTAAAATCTCTGGTTATTAAATGTGGCATAGTCATTCACATCTGCTAATTAGCACCATAGGAAGTGCATTTCCCCCGTCAATGTCAAAGTGTTATCGAGATCATTAAACGTTTCCGTCTTTTTATTCTTCTTCTGATGACCTACATATTTGCCTTGAGCTTTCGCAAATTAGTCAATTCAAAGGATTTACAGATAAAGAATGTGCGATGTATGTTCAGAAAGCAGATATGATCTTCATATTTAAGCGGGTGTAAATGTCTAATCCTCTTTTGAGCGGTGTTCATTAAAGCTGTTAATTAACACAAACGGGGAAGGCTATAAGGCCATGAGCTGTGAGAAGAGCAATTACTAGTATTGTTAGAGATAAAAACCCACCTGTGATAAAGTAGTTGACTTGTTTGTTGATCTCCTCCGTGTCGGCGTCTGTCGTGCTCAGGATGGCAATGACTCCACTGGGCGGAAGGTCGTCTTCGCTCACCGTACCCTTGTAAATCTCGGCGGTGAAGCGCGGCGGGTTATCGTTGACGTCGGCCACGGTGACCTCCACAGTGGCGCTGGTCACCAGCTGCACCTTGTCCCCGCGGTCGGTGGCCAGCACAGCAATGGTGTGCTTGCTAGTCTTCTCACGGTCGAGTTCTTTCAATGTCGTCACCCAGCCTGTCTCACTGTTAACGGCGAACAGCTCCGAGATCTCAGCCGAGGTTTGTTTAGGGTCCAGGCTGTAGATGACTTGACCGTTGGTGCCCGAGTCCTGGTCGGTGGCTTTGACCTGGATAACCGGCGTGCCATCCGGAAGGTTCTCCACCACCACCGCCTCATACGGGTCAGCCTCAAACACAGGCTTGTTGTCGTTGAGGTCCTTGACCTGGATGTTGATGTCGACAGACGCCACCGTTTCGTAGCCCTCCTGTTGGCTCTGGGCTTGCAGCGTGAGCTGGTACCACTTGGTGGTCTCGTGGTCCATACTCTTCTCCAGCTTCAGGGTCCCGGTGTCCCGATCCACCACGAAGACCTCATCCTGGTTACTCTCCGGGGTGTTGCCCTTCACTAGGCTGTAGAACACCGGTAGTTCACTCTCCGCCTGGATGACGTCAATATCCGTGCCGATGGGCATGTCTTCGGCGATGGTGAACCGGTAGTGTGGCTCCGCGAACTTGGGGACCGGTACCTCAGGGGCCACTATCCTGATGTAAACGCGGACGACGGATTGCTTGGAAGGACTCCCAGCATCCTTTGCCCTAACGTAGAACGCGTAGAGGTCGTTTTCGAGTCCGATGAGGCTCTCTTTGGTGACAATGACTCCACTGAAGGGGTGGATTTCGAAGTTCTCCTCCACGTTTTCCACATCGGCTTCGATGGTGTAAGCGATGTCGGCATTGCTACCCTCATCCATGTCTGATGCAGCGATTTTCACCACGGTGGTTCCCCTGGGGACATCCGATGCTACATTGGCATTGTACTCCACTGCCCTGAATTGTGGGGCGTTGTCATTGATATCTGTCAAAATCACATTAATAATGCAGAAGCCTACTTTTCCGCCACCGTCCTTTGCCATGAGCGATATTGGGATGACCTTCTCAATGGCATTCTCGCGGTCTAGGATCTCCAGGGTGAAAATCTCCCCATTTTCATTGACTGAGAACTTGTCCTTGGCAAAATCGTTGACGATGTGGTAAGTTAGGCGCCCGTATGTGCCAGGGTCTTCGTCTGTGGCTTTGGCCTCAGCAACTAACGTGCCAACCGGCGAGTTCTCAGTGAGTTCAACCACATAGTCGACCTGGGGGAAAGTGGGGTTGTGGAAGTTGGCACCATTGACTGTGACTTTGACCATGGCAGAGCTCCTGAATACACCGTCTGACACGGACACGTTGAGGTTGTACAGTGGCTCCATCTGTAGTTTACGGTGGTTGGAGATGATGATGGCCCCAGTCTTTTTATCCATGGCAAAGTTCTGGTCCTTATTGCCAGACAGGATGGAGAACTCAAGCCTGCCGGCGTCTGAGCTGTCGACGTCGGACGCCTGGACATGGGTGACAAAGTGACCACGGGGGGCCAATTCGCTGACCGTGGCTTTGTAAGTGCTCTCAGTGAACGCCGGAGCATTGTCATTCAGGTCAGTGACATCTACGGTCACAGTGACATCGCTGGAGAGGGCAGGCACTCCTCCATCCACAGCACGGACAGTCAGCTTGTGTTGCTGCTTTTCCTCTTGGTCGAGCATGCGAGCGGTCCAGATGATTCCTGAGTCACGGTCAATGCTGAAGTAGTCTGAGCTCTTTTCCTTGTCCTCAACTAGCTGGTAGAAGAGCACTTTGTTGTTGACAGTGTCAGAGTCTGTGGCGGCGACTTGCAAAACTGCCGTGCCGATAAAAGAAGCTTCAGAAACACTTGCGTTGTAGGACTTTAGTTTGGAAGACAGGGGGATTATCGTTGACGTCTTCCAGAATGATATCGACAAAGACATCAGAGTGGGCCCCAGTTAGTGAGTCTGTGGCTCTGACACTCAATTTATAAGCGGGGTGGGTCTCAAAATCTAGAGGTTGGATTACATGTATGACACCTGTGTTGAAATTGATGGAAAACTGACTGAAGGCATCTCCCTCAGAGATGGTGTATACTATCTTTGGGGCCTTCAGAGTCGGTAGCCTGGACGTGAACTACAGGTGTATGTAACTGGATATTTTCAGGGATTTCGATGCTGTAGAATGGCTTCTCAAACACTGGCATGGCTTTGTTTACTATAGTTATGGGCACTTCCACTTCCGCGGAGAGGGCTGGTTCTCCTCCATCTTTGGCCACAACGTTGATGATGAACTCACTGTTGAGGGAGTCTTTGTCTAACTGCTTTTTGAGGGAGATTTCTCCCGAGGTGCTTATCTGGAAGTGCTCGTGGTGTTCTTTCAGGTGGTAGTGGATTTCGGCGTTTTGACCCATGTCCCTGTCCACTGCTGTCACCTGGCGGATGGCCTGTCCCTCCTCTGCGTCCACCTGGACCAAGGCTTGATAGGGCAGGTTGACAAACATGGGCTGGTAGTCGTTCACATCTTCTACAGTCACCGTCACTAGAACGTGGGCCACTTCGGAGGAAGCATCCTCCCTGGTCACCTCCACGACGATGTCGAATGTGTCCTGCGCCTCACGATCGAAAGGTATCCCCGTGGTGGAGAGCACTCCGGAAGTGCGGCTGATTTGGAACCTCTTGTCTGGGTTCAGGATGGTGTAGAAGAGGGGTTCATTGACGTGGTTCCCCACAGCGGCAATGACCGCTAATGTTTTCTTCTCAGAGGAGTTCTCTTCGACGTAGGCCTTGTAGGAGACTCTAGTGAACTTCAGGCTGCTCTCCTTGTTCTCACGGATGTTGATCTTTACCGACGCTGTGTTGGCGAACCTGCCGTCCGAGACCCTCACCCTCAGCTCGTACCTGCTTCTTAGCTGGGTGACGTTCTGGATAGTGATGATGCCTGTGTTGGGATCCATCTTGAATTTCTCCCCGATGTTCCCCTCTGAGATGGAGAAGAAGAGTTTGGAGTTTGGTCCGGAGTCGGCGTCTGATGCGTTGACTTTGATTACCTCGACACCTTTGTAAGTCGGCACGATCACTGATGTCTCGTAGAGCTCCTGGCTGAATTGCGGCGAGCAGTCGTTGACGTCGATGACTTCGACGGTGACGTTGGCGGCTGTCTCGGCGAACAGACGCGGCATTCCGAGGTCGTGGACCTGAATGGTGAAGCGGAACACACTCCTTTGTTCGTAATCCAGAGTGGTTGTCATTCTAATGGCTCCCGTACTCGAATCGATGGCAAAGTAGTTGTGGGCGAACGGCTCGACGATCTGATAGACCAGCATGGCGTTGGCATCGCGGTCAGAGTCTGAGGCGCGGATGACCAGCGGGGTGTTTTCTCTGGTCAAGACCACACTGTTGACGGGGGCCGATTCGCTAATCATGCCTGTGAACTCTGGCTGGAGGAAGATGGGGGCATTATCGTTCTCGTCCTTCAGGTGAATCAGCAGAGTGGTGTTGCTAGCAAGACCCGCCATGTTGGTTCCCTGGATGGTCAGTCTGTACTCAGGGGTAATTTCATAGTCCAAAGCCCTCGAAGTTACAACCACACCGGAGTTTGGGTTTATATCAAATGCGCCGTTAGTGTTTCCGCCTTTGATTTGGTAGAACACAGAGGACTGGCTGGTTGCTGAGATCATGGTCACAAAACTGCCGGGGAGGGACAATTCGCTGACCTCTGCAGAGAACTCCTTCTCAGTGAATCTGGGGGTTGGCATTGTCCGACACGGTGACAGCGATGTGGACGGTGGCTGTGGCAGTCAGCGAGGGCGTTCCTTTATCGGATGCCTTCACAGCTAGTTCAAACTGGTTCTTGCTGCTTCGGTCCAGCTCCTTGGCCACGGTAACAGTGCCCAGCACCGGATCAATGGCAAATGAGTTTGCAACGTTTCCTGTTAAAAAAAAAAAGAACACAAGAAGATGTATTAATGTGGTTTGCTATGGCATTGATTTTTATTCATTAAACATTAAAGCCAGGGTGTAATTTTAGGCTTCTTGATTACCGTAAATTGAATTAACTAGAGTTGAAGTCCGTGCCCTCAAGGAAATCTAATGAGAATAATAAAAAATCCCCATACAAATCTGTCAGTTTAAGCTATCTGTTTTGCATTGGATGCGTCTCAATCCACTGCATCGGCCGATGTTGCAATTCCGCGTCTGCGGTGAAGGTGACAGAGCTAGAGCGGTGTTTGTCAGACCATGAGACATCCCGAAAATAGGTCTTCTCACAAAATCGTCTGTAGCCTCCAAACGGTTTGGCCTATAAAAGTATTATGACCCCTCTGTAGAAAGGTGAGACTATTACAAACATCATGTTTTGTTCTAGGATGCCCACAGGCCTCGTCTGAATGTCCCCGGTAGCAGTTGAACAAATTCATGGGAAGTATATATGGAGAATGTTGAGTGCCAAAAATAAGGATTTAAATACGTTAAAAAATCTTTTTTAGAATAATCGTTTCCTCATCTTTCTTATATCTTTCAGATATAGGACAGACACTTTAGAACAAACTTCCCTTCAATTATTTTTTTTTTGGGGGGGGGGACTATCTGTTGTTCCATGTAGTGAATCTGCTATTCAATGCTTTTGCAGTAAGGCCGTATTTTTTTGTTCTTAACATTCAAAATGAAATACCAAAATGGTCCTTGGTATGACCTTCTTAAAACAATTCTATAGCTTAGTAGAACCGCCCCCACCCTCCGGCTTAGACAGGGCTTAGACTGTTATAGCTTAAAACTGTGTGGACATTACAGCAAAGTCAAGATGAACCACTCTGATTAGCATACTTCAGGCCCCCCTTCCCTGGTTCTGTCTAGTACGGATACAGCTTTTTTCTAAATTGACTTTTCATAGTAGGTTTAGGAGAACTTAAACAGCAGGTTAGGAGAATTAACGTACCAGGTTAGGAGAATTAGGTTAAGGTTAGGAAAGGGGTTAAGGTCAGCTAAAATGCAAAAAAATGTATCTGCTTTTGATGTCAATTTGACAAAAGCTGTATCCCATCTAGACATGACCACTTTCATTCCCTCACCCCCCAAATGGCCATGGCTCTCGATAAGCATTCGTGAAGATTGCCTAATTGTGCACACTTTCCAGTTACTCTAATGAAATTAAATGCTTTTTTCCCCTCCCACACTCAAACTAATCCACAACCTATGGACATGGACACTCTGTGTTCTACACCAGTCCACCTCATGCTTTGAAAACCTGATTCATTCTCCGGCAAGATACATTTCCATTAACTTGAGTCATCTCAACTATCTGAAAAATGTACATCCTAAACAAAGAACCCAGCCAATGTCTACATGCCGGACTCTCTCCCAAAACACAGCTTATTTACAGGGAAAACAATGGTGGGAAATTCAGAGGGGGCATCGGCCGAACTCCCACGTTTGGAGATCCTCTGACAAAGTCGTCAAAGTCCTCCTACTTTGTGTGAAGTATTCCATTCATGACCGATGGTCAGTGGGCAGGGGTCCTCTGGATGCCCTGCATTTTCCCCAAGCCCCTTGCGTTGGTAGGGCTAACTGGGCTGCTATGCTGCTATGCATGCCTCTATCATGACTAGCCAGATGCTAGAGAATGCCAGTATGGCTGACATGTTAAGAATGTGGCTCCGGGGTGAAATTTCCCCTAGGTACAGATCTAGGATCAGCCTCCCCTCCTCAAATTCTAACCTTAACCATTAGTGTGGAAAATGCAAAACTGACCCAAGATCAGCATCCAGGGGCAACTTCGCCCTACTCCTAAGAATGTAGTCTAGTGCATCTGTGGAGCTGTTAGCCTACCTGACTCGATGCTGTAGATGACCTCTGCATTCTGTCCCTTGTCTTTGTCCAGGGCGGTGACCTGGAGGACTGCCGAGCCCAAGGCGGCCGACTCGAAGACGCGCCCGGAGTAGGGCGAGCCCACGAACCACGGTGCGTTGTCGTTGGTGTCCTCCACGTCCACGATGACGCGCACCAGGTTCCTCTTGACAGGGATGTCCTGGTCACGTACCTGGGGATTGGGGGAAAGAGGGACAGAAAGAGAGAGAGAAAGAGAGAGATGCAGAGAAAGGAGTAGGACAGAGAGGGGGGAGACAGAGAAAGAGAGAATGAATGAGTTGTAATACAATCTGAAGCCAACTCTTCTTTCCCCCAACAGTAACTTAATTAAAACGACAAACTCATCAAATCATTTAAAAAAAATGATTTTTCTTAATTTGCAGGGAGACAATTCCCAGTGAACCAAACAAGTAAACAATGAATGTGGGGAGGAATCACTTTGGATGGGCGCTGCATGGTTAGTTCCAAATGGCAAATACCAGCAAACAAACAAACAATTAATCAATACAGGCAAACTGCCCATCTGTTGAAATTGGAGAGTGGCTGATTGAGAGACACACACACAGTGGCTGAATAGGGGAGTGTTCTTAAAATGCTAGAACTCTCTCAATGGAGAGAGCACAGAATTAAACCTGTCTCAATATGCTATTAGACCACTTATTGAGACTAATGCATACAGTGTCTGAATAGGAGAGAGTGGTCTGAAACCTCTGTTACTCTCTCAATGGAGAAAGTGGCTCAGAATCAGACCTTTCTTAATATGCTAATAGAACACCTGTTCTGTTTCTATGGTAAAAATGATGATATAACAACGTGTTCCGATTGGCTGGGCTGAGTGGGTTTGTGCAGGGTGTTAATTGTCAGAGTACCACACCACTTTGACCTACTTTGACCAATGCTCTAGCAAGGTTTTCCAGCACACTCAGCTCAGACACCATAATAATAACAAACATTAAATAGCTAGATTATAGAAAATCCATAACATCCGTACCATGACGGTGAGAGTGTGGCGCCGCATGGTCTCATGGTCAAGCCGCTCTGCCGTGTAGAGGGCGCCGGTGCCCGGGTCCAGACGGAACTTCTTCAGGCTGAAGGGGTCGGTGCTGCTCAAGAGGGTAAAGGTCAACTTGTTCTTCTCGTCTTCGTCCGTGGCGCCGATTCGGAGCACCTCGGTCTCTGGCGGCGTATCCTCGGCCACAACCACCTCATAGCGCGACTGGGAGAACCGGGGCCGGTGGTTGTTGGTGTCGATGACACGGATCAGCACCTGGTGGGAGGAGGGGAGAGGGATGGTGGATGTCAGCGTGGTGAATATTTGAGTCCGGGTCAATCTGAGAGTAATGCATGATATTGTCTCTCAGTCATTGGTTCTCTGTCTCCACTCTTCACTCACTCTCTCTCTCTCTCCTGAGAGTGCTCTTTTCATCCTCTCTCTCCCTCCCTCTTTCTCCCTTCCTGACTCCCTCTTCCCCTCCCTACATCCCTTTACATCCATATTTCAAGTAATGAGCAGTGTTGTGTAGATACAGATCAGATCAATACATATAACTGCTAAATATACATATTTTCCCCGGATGCCACTTGGCACCGCCAACAAGGAAAACAACAAATCAATGTGGGATAACCCTAATGCATTCAGGTGAAGACACATTGAGGGAGCATTGAGGGAGTGTTAAAGAGGTGGTGATAAAGTTACAGGTGATCGCTTGATAAATGACATCAAAGTAAGCCGTCAGTTGAGAAACGTGAAATTAATTTAGAAATATATTGTAGATTCAAATGGTTCTATGTATCACACTGACAATGTGGGTTTCATAGTTCAAGGATGAAGATTGATTATGAAAAGAAAACATCTGCTAATACATTGAGGTACACTTTAATAGGAATGTAAAATACATTGACAAATATATTTATGCACACGATCTCTGATAAAAGTGCCATTGTGTATTTCCATAACACAGCATCATACTCTAAACATATATTGCAACAAATACATATATTGCTAAATATATTTTCCACACAAAGACAGATCTTTTGCCACAATACCACAGTTGGCAATGTGGAATATTCCCCCCATTTCATACAATGCATCAAATCCCTGGTCCCTAAACTGTAAAATTCCAGCAAGGCTTGTTTTATCAACATGAGCCACTCGTCTACTGGACTTCCGACAAGGGATTAGGGCGAGCCGATGGAATGGCTGTGGCGGTAGCCGCCCCGGCGGGGCTTTTCCACGGCGGAACAAAGGAAAACACAGATTAGACACCTGGATGCCAGCCACCAGGGGGCAATGCCCCACATGGGAATAACACATTCAGCTGGAACTCATATCCTGATTCCCAATATATAGGGTCAAACTGAGCCAAGCAGAGCTGAGCTATACTGGGCTGGGCTGGTTGCACATCCACCATAGTTGCTGGAACTATTTGAGCCAGCACGGTACGGTTCAAATCAAATCAAATGTTATTGGTCGCATACACATATTTAGCAGATGTTATTGCGGGTGTAGTGATATGCTTGTGTTCCTTGCTCCAACAGTGCAGTAATATCTAACAATACACACACATCTAAAATAAATATTAGGACGAGCATTGTCTGGGTTCAGGCCTATAGTACGAATCATACTCAAGAGGACAGAAATAGGCAACTCTCTCACTGCCTGAACCTCTGCTCTACTACGCCGTTGGTGCCTCGACAGCCATGAGAGCATGGAAAGCACTGCCAGCAGAGTGCAGGAGACAAATATAGCCTAATCTGACGGGTGCGATAACATTCACAATCTGTCGTGTGCTGTGAGGTTGGCAGGGCTGGCTGGGTTCACAGATGCCCATGTCAAGCAGTGGGGAGTACAGCTATTGGCTAGGTTATTTACTAGTTAGGCAGTGCTTTAGCTTCAGTGCTGGCAGTTTCAAATGTTAGCGTGATGCTAACAGTCAAGAGTTGTATCAGTCTGCTAGTGGATTGAATGAAAGTTAGCTTCTGATGGATATTATTCTCAGTCCAAGTTGAATTGTATACGGTTGTGTACTGTTTATTGCAACTATACAGTTGTATCTGTAATCTAGCCCTCTTACTTTCTCTCTCATACAGTTTTGTAAGGAACTAGACGTTATCTAGATGCAGGCAAGTCCACAGATAGTGCTCAACCAGTGCCCGAGCACCTGCCCTTTTGCCCTCCTATGAAAAAGTGCCCTCGCAGCTCAGTGTAATTTAGATTGTCTTTTCATTTTTTTATTTAAAATGTAACTCATTTCTCATAAAACGAGCAAATTTCATAAGCTCTTGAATTCTCTGAAATGTCCCCCACTGCCCTGCCCCAAGAGCGCACTCGTCTGACTTGCATGTAGTGGCCGCTGGTGCCGGACAGGGAGACTTGAATAATGGTAGGAGGTTACTTTAAGAGTTGGATCTGTCATGTGTGTCTCTCACTGTTAGGGACAAAGAACGGGGCAATTCGATTGGTTGTTATTAAGAGGCAGAAGTCAGCAGCAGAACAAACTCAAATCAAGTAAAAACAAGTTGGTTTCAACAGCATAGCTAACTAGCTAGCTAGCTAGCATATTTACATCAGCATTTGCTCTGATCAGCTGATAGACACTCTTTTCCCGATGTCAATCATCTCTCGTCGTCTGGCATTAGCTTGCTTACAATGTGTGATGATGGCTGTTGTTTTAGAAAATAAATAGGCCAATAAATGTTGACATTTTGGCTAGAGAGACAGTTGGTATGTTATGAAATTTGAGTTATGAACGTTATTTTTTATTTGCACCTGCCCCCCCTAAAGGTCTGTGCATGGCCCGGCCTAGATCCTTCTTGATACTGTACTCAGTATGACCCTAAAGGGGTCCCCAGTGGGGTGTGTGTGGTATTATGGATAGGACCCTCTTGGCAGCCCATCAGTCTCTCTCTCTAGTCCAGGCGCCTGGTTTCATGTCACGCCAGACGTCACACTGCCTAAGGTCCCTGGGGACTCTGCGATCCAGTTTGCACGCACACAACAAACACCCTCACCCCACCGCCGCGAGTTGAGCCCTTTACACGATGCGTTCAAATCTGGACGGTCGCAGAAGGAGGGCCATTCACAAGCAGCTGGGCCTGATAACACAGTAAGCATAAGAAAAGAAAACACAGAGTGTCCGCTCCTATCCACCCAACCATTCACCATGTGAGTCTACATACTGCCAGGAAGAAAGAAAGGGGAAAAAAAACAGACAGTGAAAAAAAACTATCATCCATCCATCTGTCTATTTTTTTTAAACAGCCCATTCTGGGAGGAAAGCATATAGTCTCTTCAAGACACTTCAAAAGGGGCATTACCACCGAATCTGCATGATGTAGTGTGACCGGAGCTTGAAAAGACGGAAAAGGTTTCTCTCTCTCTCTCTCTCTCTCTCGATACCTTCCCGAGGGACTCGCGTCAAAGCAACGAGATTGGGACTGAGACGGCGAACGGAGTCATATGACAGATGAAGAGAAAGATATAGAAAGGGAGAGAGAGCTATTGAAAGGGAGAAAGCGGCTGAGAGGAGAGCCCGAATCACGGTGAGTAACAGCAAAAGAGAGGGAGAGATAGAAAGAAAAGAGAAAGAAAGAGAGAGAGAGAGACAGACAGTGAGGGAGAGAAAGAATGAGAAAAATGATAAATACATAATCAAATATGAAGAAAGAGGGGAACGTGTAGCTCCAAGAGAACTAAAACAGAGTAAGATAGAGGAGGTGAGAACTGACAGCATCTGCGTGAAAAAGAGAGACAGCAACAGTGAGAGAGAAAGAGAGGAATGAGACAGACAGAAAGAGCATGCAAGAGAAATATGGAGAGTGAAAGAGAGAGAGAGATGGAAAAAGAAAACAGATCAATGGGAGCTGAAGCAGATTGTGGACAGAACAGCCTGAAGCACTACTGCAGGTCAGGAGGATGGCATGGGGGGCTGGCAAGGAGGCAGGGGAAAGGAATGAAAGGGGGCAGCCTGCCTGGACTGCCTGGCTGGCACCGCTCCATGCCTATGAGCTGCCCAGGATGGAATGTTGCTCTGCCCCTGCTTCGGATCAGCTGACCTCACACACAGAGAGAGAGAGAGAGACGCCGCTTTGGAGCCAGAGGCAGACAAACAGAGAGACAGGCAGATAGTTTGGTAGGTAGGTATAGACAGACAGACAGACAGACAGACAGACAGACAGACAAGAAAGACGGACAGAAAGACAGACAAACTCCCACATAACAGAACACCACACAGAAACACTCTACTTCACTATGGTGTCACTTAGCCAGTCAGAGAGCTAGGAACAGGTCAGCTAGGTAGCTGGAACAGGCATTTAGCCTAGGTCCAACCACAACACAAACAACACCGCGAGCGAGAGCCAGCCAGCAACTTCCGAGAGGGACAGAAAGGGAATATGGTGCCAGAGAAGAAAGAAAAGAGAGCGAGAGAGAGAGAGAGAGAGAGAGAGAGAGAAAGAGAGAGTTCACGCCTCCCCCACACAGACCTCCAACGCAGACCCGTGCGCGGCCTCCAACATGGTACACGTGAGGCAGAAGAACGGCACCGCCCTCAGCGGGCGCCACGTCCGGGTAAGGCAGGCAATAATGCCCCCCTGCCAGGTGGCAGGTTTTTGGGTCCGGGACATTGGCACGGTCCAACCTGTAGCTACATACTTCTCGAAATAGGGTTCAAACAGAACACGGCCAACAGAGGTCCAGTGATTCTTGTTTAGGCTTTATTCTCCCTCAACACAATAAATAACAACAATGATCTGTGCATGGAGGGACCGAGAGGGAGGGAGGGAGAACCTTGAATTTGGAAGGGAATAGAGAGGGAGAGGAATTGAAAGTGGGAAAGAGAGAGAGATGGATAGATTGATAGAAACAGAGCGAGAAAGACTGATAGAAACAGAAAGAAAGAGGGAGAAAACAAGAAAACAAACAAACGCATTCCTTGGAGAGAGGAAGAAGGGAGGAGAGAGAAAAAATGAAAGGAAATAGGCCAGCTAGTCTGGCAGAGGCAGACACCACATGGGTTTGATTTGAAGGAGAAGATAAGTTAAACTTTCTGTGTGTGTGTGTGTGTGTGTGTTCCGTTTCAATTAAACGAACGGCATACTCCTGGCCACAGGGTAAACAGCACACCTCTGTCACAGAAAACAATGTACCCAAAACATCCCGTTGTATTTTTAATCTGTTGTTTTGCATGTTCTGTTTACATGTAACTTCACAAAAGTAGGTCTTATTTGGGTGTTATCCACAAAGTCAATTACTCTGTAATCTCCATTGACACATCTCCAAACCTTAAAAAACTGAAACAGAGTATTGAGCTTTATAAAGCAGACAAATCCAGGGAGACAATATATTAAAGTATTTTAAAATCCCTTCTAAAGATTTAACAAAACAGTAACACTGATTATCTTACATAATTTAAATCAAAAGAGCTTGGCGGAGAAAAATTAATAGTTCAACTGACACATTTCTTCTCAGTTGGTCCAGTGTGGCCTAGATTCACTCCTCTCTCGCTACCTGCCTGTTGTGTGTGACTACAACGGCAAAAGTGTTGACGGGCATACATACTTCGTTTTTGCTACTAATAAGAGCAGCGGAGAGTGAAAAGTTGGGAAAACTACGGAAAACGTGCATGTCCAATTGGCCGGATTCATCATCTGTTGAGAATGTGCAGAAACACACACACAGAAAGTATATGTGCACACACACGCACGAACACACACACACTCTCTTTCTCACAAACACACCACACACAGACACCCCTAAAATCGGGCAGAACACCACCCCCCCAACATGACCCATATTCCCTGTATGTGTGCTCACCAGCGGCCTGCGTCTGATTTTCTCTGATGTCTAACTAAGAGGGTTCGGCTCCACAAAGGCCTTCACACACCCCTCACGGTAACGAGGGGCGACTTGAAAAACGGGGCGCCCCCGAGCCTTTGAACACTGTCAGCACCGTGACTAATTGTGTTATGTCATTTCCCCCCTTTGTACCGCCGTCCCACTGGTCAAAACATGACCGCGTCCCAAATGGCACCCTACTTCCTATAAAATACACTACTTTTGACCAGAGCCCTATGGACTATGCACTATATAGGGAATAGGGTGCCATTTGAGATGTACGCCCTCTCTATCCGAGGAAAGAACTGATCAGGGAATCAGCGATACCCGATATTTCCTCGTTTTCTGGCAAGACGGACATGTCTTCTGAACTTGACTATATCTGACTAATAAGTCACTGTATGGATTGGGATAGAGGAGAACAGAGGAGGGTTTTGGTTTGGTGAATGACTGTTTTTCCTCGAAGATCATGAGGAGTGTGTGTGTGTGCATATGCAAGCATGTATGTATTTGTATCATGTGTGCGTGTGCGCATTTGCCTGTGTGTGTTTCTCAATCTCCACATGACAATAGGGTGCTCTGTGACGGATCTGAAGACTCCATTTAGCCGACGCTTCCGTCGGCGGGCTGTGGAAAACACCGCCACCCGCCTCGCCGCCCGAACCCAGCAGGCTGAGAGGGGCTCGGCGAAGCACAGGGCCGCATGATAAAGGGCTTTATTCACAGGCAGAGACAGCAAGTAGAGTTTTTTTCCCCACAAAGGATCTCTGAATGCTTTTGAGAAGACGCACAAAACCATTGGAATATTTCCAGAGTCCCGTCGGCCTTAGACTGTGACTATGGCTAGGTGGTACCTGGGTTGAAAGTGTTTGTTTTCTTTGAAATACTTTCATTGAGCTTGCCTGGCGCAATGGAACCAATGGGATAGTCCCAAAAGTGCAAACCTGTCACTAGGCAGGCACAATGAAACACTTTGAAAGTAAACAAATATTATTTGAACCCCGTCTGCACTATGGATGGGGAACGGAGAGGCCAATAAGTTAACAATTTCACTATTAACATATCACATAATAGCAATATCATTATGAACCTGCAATGAGTGGGAGGTGACTAGTTGCGGATTTTCATAAAACACTTACAGCTCTGTATGCCTATAACCTCAAGAGAATGTTAATCTCTGGATTAAAGAATGTGGTGTGGACCTGCACTTTTCTTTAGCCCCAGTCTTTTCAGGAGAACTCAATGCACTTTCATGTCGAAAGAGAGAGAGAGAGAGAGAGAGAGAGAGAGAGAGAGAGAGAGAGAGAGAGAGAGAGAGAGAGAGAGAGAGAGCTTGCTTTGGCAATGTTAACACACGTTTCCCATGCCAATAAAGACCTTAAATTGAAATTGAATTGAGAGAGAGAGAGAGAGAGAGAGAGAGAGAGAGGGGGAGAGAGGGGGAGAGAGAGAGCGAGAGAGAGAGAGAGAGAGAAAAAAAGAAAGGAGTGAGGTGAGAAAACAAGAAAAGGAGAAGAAAAAGAGGGGGAAGGAGGGGTGTAGCTGCAGACACGGGGCTGTGGAATGCACACTTCAAAAAGCGCCTGGCTAGACAGGCACCATTCCTCCCGCCCTCCTCTCCTTCTTCCTCCCTTGCTCCTCGGCCCTTCAGGAATGAGACAATGGAAGAATCCTGGAGCTGGTCTGCCAAGAAAGCGTTCCGAACACTCCTTGCCTGTGTCCCAAATGGCACCTCATTCCCTATAAAGTGCACTATACAGTGAATAGGGTGCCATTTGGGACGCGGCCCTCGTCTGCCGCCGGTAGATGTGGATAGAGAGAAGAAGGAATGTCCGCCAAGCACATGTTATGACGTTAGGGGTCAAGTTTGGAAAAGCGAGCGCCTGGAGTATGCCAGTTGAGGTGTTGACCCACAAGCGAGTCTAATCAAAACAGGCGATGGATGGGCACACAGAATTTCTGACCTCACTCTAGATCCACCCCCTTGCTTTACCCCTCGTCTGTCTGTCTGTCTGGCTGTCAGACAAGCTGAGTCACAATTTTAATTTGGCAAGAGTGCAGAAATCACAACAAAAAGCATTCAAACGGATGGTCCCAGAATGAAGACTCCTCATGCAAACCATGTTTATGTTTCCATAATCTGTTCCTTTTCTTCTAATCACAAAAGTCAATCACCTTTTTGTATTTTGTGAGAAATGGCACTATGCACCATTTAAGTGAGAATAAAGAAATGAAAACACAAGCATCCAAAACTACGGCATGCAATGGGAACCCTCATGCAACCATATCTCTACCATTTCATTTCAGAAATGTTTCCATAATCCTTTCCTCTGAAAACACAAATATAAATCCTATTTTTGTCTGTAGTGACAAGCCTCACAATGATCTGTACAGCCAAAACCACCAAAACCTCTGGACACGCAACAGGAACTCTCCTTCTCATGCAAACTGAACATTTCATTCCCATAAATGCTTCCATAATCTTTCCCTTTCCCATCACAAAAGTCAACCATCCTACCTCAGGATCCATGACAAACTATACCGCCATCAACAAACGTTTCATTAACGTTCCAATTACCTGGGTGCTGACAAATCGCGTGCCGTCCGTTGCCTCCACTGTCAGGTTGTAATTGGATTTTTGCTCGGCGTCGAGAGGCCTCGCCACGATCAGGGTCCCACTGGCCTTGCCCACGTCAAAGCGGCTGTCGTAGTTCCCACCTGGTGGAAACGATGGAGGGAAGGGTTAGGCAGGTGCACAATTAAAATGGACAGGAAATGAGTGGGCCTATCATCACCTGTTTAAATGATGATGCAGTACTGGAGCTAGGTAAGCTAACAGTGACATACGGTTCTGTTTGGCTGTGCCGTTATGCTAGAGGCACTGATACATAAATTGCTGGCGTATGTAAACTATGTATAATAATAATTTCTGTATATTATCCATACTGTTCCTTATATCAATAAACTAAGCAACAGTATCCTTATTGTTGATACATACAGAAGCACATGTGTACTGCACTATGAATCAACAACGTCAATACATTTCCCTGTGCTTATGTTCACTTCCCAGGCTCATTATGGACCCATATGTGCAAGTGGTATGATGTGTATGCATCAAGCCCATACAGTTAGTTGTATGTGTCAATGGATTCCACTAGACACGATGAATGAAATGCATACGGTACATATACAAAATGGAGCCATATGTTCATGTTTATGTGCGGTATACGTGTTTATGTAAATCTGTTGTCACACGATCACAAGAATGACGGAAATACTGCACAAGCTCAACCACAGGCACGTGACAGCACAACTGGGTTCAAACACTATTTAAATACTTTGAGCGTTTGCTCTAGCCTGCCTGGAGTGTCAGATGGGCGGGGTTTGCACTTTGGGGACTATCCTATTGGTCTATTAAGCCAGGCAAGCTCAGCTAAAGTATTTTAAATCATTTCAAATAGTATTTAAACCCAGGTCTGCATGACGGACATCACAGTCAGCGATCTCTTAACACAACCAATGGTATTAGAGAGATCACTTAATACAGCCAACGACAGTAGAGAGATCCCATTACAGCAGATCTACCTTCTGCTGTACAGTTGAGGTCGCAAGCCATCTGAACGATGTAAAACACTTCCTCTATGTCTCCTTCTGGACAAACCAAATCCAATAAAAGAGAGAGACATTCCCAAAGGAAAAAAGGAAGAGAAGAGCAGCAGAGAAGCAGAAAACACAGAAAAAGAGAGAGGTGTCAGTCAAACGTTGGTTAGAAGAAGGGAGGGGGAAAAGGGAGAAGTATTTTCAGGAAATGTCAGGAAGTTTATGCAGTAAAGATGTTAACAGTCACCATGCAAAGAAGTCACTATTAGAGATTCAATTATTACAGTGAGCAAGGAGAAAAAACGATGTATATAGGTTTGTAGGTTTTGGGGTTTGTAGGCTACACGCTCACATTCGCTTGCTAGGGTTAGTGCTAAGAAGAATGCTACAACAATCTATGCCAGGGATGTCTTCCCTTGACTATAAAACTAGATTAATCTCCTTCTAGAATGCATTCAACTAACACACATACAGTTGAAGTCGGAAGTTTATATACACCTTAGCCAAATACATTTAAACTCAGTTTTTCCACAATTCCTGACATTTAATCCTAGTAAAAATTCCCTGTCTTAGGTCAGTTAGGATCACCACTTTATTTTAAGAATGTGAAATTTCAGAATAATAGTAGAGAGAATGATTTATTTCAGCTTTTATTTCTTTCATCACATTCCCAGTGGGTCAGAAGTTTACATACACTCAATTTGTATTTGGTAGCATTGCCTTTAAATTGTTTAACTTGGGTCAAACGTTTTGGGTAGCCTTCCACAAGCTTCCCACAATAAGTTGGGTGAATGTTGGCCCATTCCTCCTGACAGAGCTGGTGTAACTGACTCAGGTTTGTAGGCCTCCTTGCTCACACACGCTTTTTCAGTTCTGCCCACAAATGTTCTATAGGATTGAGGTCAGGGCTTTGTGATGGCCACTCCAATTCCTTGACTTTGTTGTCCTTAAGCCATTTTGCCACAACTTTGGAAGTATGCTTGGGGTCATTGTCCATTTGAAAGACCCGTTTGCGACCAAGCTTTAACTTCCTGACTGATGTCTTGAGATGTTGCTTCAATATATCCACATAATTTTCCTTCCTCGTGATGCCATCTATTTTGTGAAGTGCACCAGTCCCTCCTGCAGCAAAGCACCCCCACAGCATGATGCTGCCACCCCCTTGCTTCACGGTTGGGATGGTGTTCTTCGGCTTGCAAGAGCCCCCTTTTTCCTCCAAACATAACGATGGTCATTATGGCCAAACAGTTATATTTTTGTTTCATCAGACCAGAGTACATTTCTCCAAAAAGTACGATCTTTGTCCCCATGTGCAGTTGCAAACCGTAGTCTGGCTTTTTTATGGTTTTGGAGCAGTGGCTTCTTCCTTGCGAGCGGCCTTTCAGGTTATGTCGATATAGGACTCGTTTTACTGTGGATATAGATACTTTTGTACCTGTTTCCTCCAGCATCTTCACAAGGTCCTTTGCTGTTGTTCTGGGATTGATTTGCACTTTTCGCACCAAAGTACGTTCATCTCTAGGAGACAGAACGCGTCTCCTTCCTGAGCGGTATGGCGGCTGCGTGGTCCCATGGTGTTTATACTTGCGTACTATTGTTTGTACAGATGAATGTGGTACCTTCAGATGTTTGGAAATTGCTCCCAAGGATGAACCAGACTTGTGGAGGTCTACAAAAAAAAATTCTGAGGTCTTGGCTGATTCCTTTTGATTTTCCCATGATGTCAAGCAAAGAGGCACTGAGTTTGAAGGTAGGCCTTGAAATACATCCACAGGTACACCTCCAATTGACTCAAATGATGTCAATTAGCCTATCAGAAGCTTCTAAAGCCATAACATCATTTTCTGGAATTTTCCAAGCTGTTTAAAGGCACAGTGAACTTAGTGTATGGAAACTTCTGACCCACTGGAATTGTGATACAGTGAATTATCCGTGAAATAATCTATCTGTAAACAATTGTTGGAAAAATTACTTGTGTCATGCACAAAGTAGATGTCCTAACCGACTTGCCAAAACTATAGTTTGTTAACAAGAAACGTGTGGAGTGGTTGAAAAACAAGTTTTTGTAAACCTTCGACTTCAACTGTATACACGCATGCGTGTATGCACAGACCCACCCACACACAACCTAAAACAAAATCCTGCATCCACTCGTCCAGGCTTCACCTGTGATCTCGAACCAGACGGGCGTGTCCGACATCTCCGTGGTGATGACCCCCACCATGTGCGCCACGGGGTCGCTCTCCATCACTGAGAAGAAGAAGGGGGGCTCCTCAAAGGCCAAGGGGGGCGCGCCGGCCGCCACCTCCGGCTTGGGGATCCACTCGATGTGCAGCCGGCAGGTGGACGACTTCTGGGGGCGTCCGTTGTCCACCGCTTTGATCTGATAGAGAGAGGGAATTAATTAATTTGAATTGATTTGGGTAACAACATTATACAACAAGACGCATTGGTCTCCCAGGGGATAGCACTTAAAAGCTTTAATGAAAGTACTTTAATTAAAACACAGGGAGAGAGAGGGGGGAGAGAGGAAACAGAGCGAGAGAGAGAGAGCAAGCGAGAGAGAGAAATAGAGTGAGAGACAGAGACAGATAGGCCAAGGGGTCAAAGAACGGTCAGCTAGCCCACATGGGAAAAACAACAACAGATCGGAACACCTGTTACCATGGCGTCCCCCGTTAAACAGGTGTCCGGGGAGCTTATTGTGTTATGTGTCTAATTCCTTCAAGTGAGATAAATCTATCACAGGCAACATTAGCCCAAATGTACTATTATATAAAAGTACTGTGACTATCCTAAACCTCAAAAGTGTATCAACAAATGCAATTTGGCATGTACATTGGAAATGTAAAAGTAAATTACTGCGAATAAATCAAAGCCACAGGTCCGATTTGTCCAGTAATTCTCTAAAACACTGACTCTAGTTTAAGATGTCATATAACTCAGCATGTACATTGACATTCCTCTAAAAGCAAAAGAAAATCCTAAACCTAAGTGACTTCTCCCTAACTATACTGAACAAAAATATAAATGTAACATGTAAAGTGTTGGTCCCATGTTTCATGAGCTGAAATAAAAGATCCCAGAAATGTTCCATACGCACAAAAAGCTTATTTCTCTCAAATGTTGTGCACAAATTTGTTTACATCCTTGTTAGTGTGCATTTCTCCTTTGTCAAGATAATCCATCCACCTTATAGGTGTGGCATATCAAGAAGCTGATTAAACAGCATGACCATTACACAGGTGCACCTTGTGCTGGGTACAATAAAAGGCCACTCTAAAATGTGCAGTTTGTCACATAACACAATGCCACAGATGTCTACATTTTGAGGGAGCGTGCAATTTGCATGCTGCCTGCAGAAATGTCTACCAGAGCTGTGGCCAGAGAATTTAATGTTCATTTCTCTACCATAAGCCGCCTCCAACTTCATTTTAGAGAATTTAGCAGTACGTCCAACCGGCCTCACAACTGAAGACCATGTATAACCATGCCAGCCCAGGACCTCCGCATCCGGCTTCTTCACCTGCGGGATCATCTGAGACCAGCCACCCGGACATCTGATGAAACTGTCTGTAATAAAACCCTTTTGTGAGGAAAAACTCATTCTGATTGGCTGGGCCTGGCTCCCCAGTGGGTGGGTTTATGCCCTCCCAGGCCCACCCATGGCTGCACCCCTGCCCAGTCATGTGAAATCCATCGATTAGGGCCTAACGAATGTATTTCAATTGACTGATTTCCTTGTATGAACTGTTAACTCAGTAAAATCGTTGAAATTGTTGCATGTTGCATTTATATTTTTGTTCAGTATAAGATGCAGAGGAATTTCCTAACAAAAAATCCAGAGTATACAAACTACGAATCCAAATGCGCTAGGCTACTCACGGTGAGGATGTCATACTCCCCGGCGGAGGAGAACTTCTTAGACGACACCAGACCCGTCTTTGGCTCGATGAAGAACTTCCCGTGCTCATCTCCCTCCTCGATAGAATACGAGATCTCCGAGTTGGCACCCTCGTCGCGGTCTGAGGCAATCACCCGGTACACGGGATCACGCTTCAGAGCCCGCTCCTTTTCCGGTTTTTCGCGTTCCGGAAGCTTGATCTTGTAGATCTTCTCCAGGAACTGCGGCCGGTTGTCGTTCTCGTCCAGGACTTTGACGATGACACGGACCGTGGTGGATTTGGCAGGAACCCCGTGGTCGGTTACAGTGATCTATTAGGGAAAAGTTGGGAAAAACATGGAATTAGAATGGGAGTATGGGAATTCTGTTGTCTGTGACTTTAATCCGAGCGAAAAAGAGGGGAAAACATGGAATTGAGAGACATTTTTGGGGAAAACATGGAATTACAATTGGAATCCTATGTTTGAGACTGTGAGAGGGAAAAGAGAGAAACGCTGAATGAAAAGCTTCAAAGGATCTATGTGAATTAAGTGTCAAGGCCAACAGTCAATGGTAGAACGTCATCACATTTCATATTTTGAACGGACATTGTGTTCCATTTACCCATGCAACCTTGGGAAGAGTGTTGTCACGTAAACATTTCCAATTAAAGCAATGTTTAAAACCAGTTTAGCGAAACAATGCATATACTGCAGAGGGGAGGGGGGACCAAGCAATAATGTCGCACATATGTGTAAGCAGTAAGCACTGCGTCTCGTGAATATGTAATGACCGGGGCTCCAACGTTTGATTGAGGACGTTCCTTATTCGAAGTCCTTGAATTAATCAAAGAGAACGGAGGTAAAAAGCTAACTCGCTTTCTTCTCTCCCTTTTCCCCTCGCTTTCTCCCTCTTTCTCTTTCTCCCCGCACATCTTCCTCCCCCCCCACCTCTTCCTCCCACCCATCATTTCATTGCCATGCTCACAAATGTTTCTCAGTAAGTCAATTGGCTGCCAAAATTGAAGCAATTCCTTCTGAGATTTTGCGAGTCATCTTATTCAAAGACCCACGCTGTGCATCCGGGAACAAATATGCGAAGGGAACAGGCTGTTATACATTCGCTCGCTTATTGAAGTTGAATTGTTCCCTTTCCTTCTTTCTTTCCCTTTCAGTCATTTTTCTATGGTGAAGGGATTCAATGAATGTGAGAGGCAAGTCATAGTTTTGCGTTTTTTCCTCTGAGACAAGCGCAACAAGACGGTCCAAAGACCACACTCGCTTTGCCGCTTTGCTTTTTTGCCACAGAAGAATGAGACTCGTCGTTATTTTGGGGATGTAGCAGGCGCTCCAAAAACAACATATTCCGTTAAATGGGTTTACTTGATAAATGTATCACCATCCAACCAGACACAAGGAGAAAAAATGTTTTATCTATGCTGATGTTTTCTTCCTCACAGCGATAGAAGTATTATATATCAAAACACCAGCCTGGTCCCAGATCAGTTTGTGCGGTCTTGCCAATTCCTATGGTAATTGTCACATGGCACAAACTGATCTGAGACCAAGCAAAAAAAAACACACCAGTGGCATGATGTGTTAACCCATTTGGAGATGCCAGGGTAGAAACAATTGTTTAAAAAGAGTTCAAAAATAATAATGAAACCCTACAGCCCATAGTTTGCCGGAGGGACATAAGTTAGCTTTAACACTTAGTAGTTTGAACACTCAGCTGTTTTAACACTTTGTTAATTTGGCCTGGCTTAATGGCTGAATGGTGTCTAGTCTTTAAAATGAAATGCACAGCCGTGACAGCTTAATGTACACAGCCAGCAATAAGCTTAGCTGACCCAAACAAACACAACACTTAAATATTATGAGTAACTGGGAAACTGAACTGGGGTTTGTCTATCTATCTCACAGCCAAGAGAGATGTGAGCAATTCTGAGCTTAAAGAGTCGGAAATAAAAATAAAGAGCTGAACAATAGTCATTTAAAACCATCTGCTCAGCGCTATAGCGAAAACAATTTGGGGTGGTGGTCACACGCCATTTGGCACTAGCAGCAACGATTAGCAGCATAATGTGTTTTTGTTTTCCCGCGCCTAGTCGGTCCGAGGCCGTCCAAGCTATTTTCCCGAACAAAATTAATTAAATAGGACGACGAGGACCATTCGAGTTAGAGGCGGCGTGCGCCTCTCGGGAGCAGTGTTGCCGGTGCATTGGCCCGTATTCTCATATTCTGTAATGAATATTGCCATTACAAGCAGATGCGTTCATTTGGCCCCGTTTCGGATGATATTTTATATGCATCCCAAATGTAGTGCATTACTTTTGACCAGAGCCCTAGGTGTCCTGTTGAAAAGTGCACTATATTGGGAATAGTGTCATTGGGTACACACCCTTTGTATACAGTTCCCGGTTCCCTTTGTGAAATCAAAGCAGTGGATTGAAAAAATCTAAAGACAAGGACCCGGCTAATGTGAACAGCTGAACTGTTGTATGTGAGTGCATCCCAAATGGTATCCTATTCCAGATATATTGCACTTCTTTCGACCAGGGTCCACAGGCCTCCGGTCATAAGTAGTGCATTAAATAGGGAATAGGGTGCCATTTGGGACGCAGTTGTATGGTAATTATGCCGAGCGACCCGGAGAGACAAGATAGGAGCATCAATTACAAAAAACAAACTGAACTCTGTAATACTGTACTTAGACAGCAGCATTGAGGTGAAGAGAGAGAGAGAGAGAGAGAGAGAGAGAGAGAGAGAGAGAGAGAGAGAGAGAGAGAGAGAGAGAGAGAGAGAGAGAGAGAGAGAGAGAGAGAGAGAGTGTGTGTGTGGGTGAGAGAGACTGTGGTAATGAGCCTACATGCGTGCTTGTGAGTGCGCCCTTCCGAGCCGTGCTAGACAGTTGCTCATCAGCACATCCTACTCTTTCAAAACAAAGTCTTTACCAGAGGCCAGTCACTCTCTGTCAGACAGACAGTGACAACAACGTAAAGACAGTGTCGCAGTGGTTCTAAGGCTTTTCGTAATTTAATGTTTACACTTGGACGCGCATTGTTGCACGTCTGCGACAAACCCCTGGTCAAATGGCGGCCAACTCTCAAGTCTGATGTAGTGAAACGTTAGTGCCTAGACACTTCAGAAGGCATAAATCAAGAAAGTGGCTGAGACGATAGAAACTTAGCCAGTTGGTGTAGAGATAGGCCTATAAGCAGAACATTCAACTTGCCTCTCTTTCAGGTCTGGGTGAGCATGTCCTAACATGTCTCCCTTGTTGTTTCCTCTCTCTCTCTCTCTCTCCCTCCCTCTCTCTCCCTACCTCCCTGTTCTCAGGCCTGTCACCCTGCCGCTGAAGCCGACACACATTCACCAAGATGAGCCTGGCGTTTGCTCACTCAGAGACCTCCCCCACTCCCACTGGCGATCACACACATACACACGGCGCAAGCACGCACACACACCACCCCATCAACCCCCCCTTACCACCCCCCCCCCCCCGACTGTGCAGGCCTTGTTTGCACCAGATGCCACCCCACCCGGCATCTGGCGCAAACAAGGCCTGCACGGTCAGCCAACCCCCGACCACCCCCCACCTCAATAGCTCCACATGTTCCAACCAACCCCCACCCACCCCTCCTCCGACCAGCAATCCCCTAGAGGGGGCTCTGCCCCAGGGATAAACAGTCCCCTGTGGTGGTGGAGCCAGGGGTTTCAGGCCAGGGTTTGAGGTCTTCCCACCTTCCCTCCACCACCTCTGTCCTTTTGTATTTCCCCCATCTATTGGTTAAGGTTTAGATTGGGGGAGGGGAAGCTTATCCTAGATCTGTACCTAGAGGAAAATTCACCCCCACCTCCAGACAGAGTCTATCCCAATAAAAAAAAATCTGAAGTCGCCATGGTTATCAGCCAGACTCTCCTAGGAGGCCAGGCTAGGAGCGAAGGTCTTCGTCCCAAATAGCACCCTATGGGCCTTGGTCAAAAGAAGTGCACTATATAGGGAATAGTGTGCCAATTGAGACGCAGCTGCCACTGTAGCTCTTTTCCCACTTACCCACATCCAAACTATTTAGGTCAAAAGGTACTTGCATCAAATTACTTTTTTTCATTTATTTTTTTCTCTCCCCCTCTCTCTTGCGCTCTCTTTTCCTGACTGACTGAAGTGGAGCAGTAGATCAAATGAAAGCTAACTGTAAAGTTATTGGATGGTCTTTCGAGCCGTTCAACATTGTAAAATGCGACGGAGATAGTTTTATAATGAATGATTATATTTTCTTTGAAAATATATTTATTAATTTTTGTATTGATATATATTTTTTCATGCCGTACTCGTACACTACCGTTCAAAAGTTTGGGGTCACTTAGAAATGTCCTTGTTTTCCATGAAAACATACATGAAATGAGTCTGAATAGGAAATATAGCAAAATGCATAGGAAATGTAGTCATTGACAAGGTTAGAAATAATTATTTTTAATAGAAATAATAATTGTGTCCTTCAAACTTTGCTTTCGTCAAAGAATCTTCCATTTGCAGCAATTACAGCCTTGCAGACCTTTGGCATTCGAGTTCTCAATTTGTTGAGGTAATCTGAAGAGATTTCACCCCATGCTTCCTGAAGCACCTCCCACAAGTTGGATTTGCTTGATGGGCAATCCTCAGCTGGCAGCTTCATTAAATAGTACCTGCAAAACACCACTCTCAACATCAACAGTGAAGAGGCGACTCCGGGATGCTGACCTTCTAAGAAAAAGCCATATCTCAGACTGGCCAATAAAAAGAAAAGATTAAGATGGCCAGTCTGAGATATGGCTTTTTCTTTGCAACTCTGCCTAGAAGGTCAGCATCCCGGAGTCTCCTCTTCACTGTTGACTTTGAGACTGGTGTTTTGCAGGTACTATTTAATGAAGCTGCCAGTTGAGGACCTGTGAGCCGTCTGTTTCTCAAACTAGACACTCTATTGTATTTGTCCTCTTGCTCAGTTGTGCACTGGGGCCTCCCACTCCTCTTTCTATTCTGGTTAGATCCAGTTTGCGCTGTTCTGTGAAGGGAGTAGTACACAGCGTTGTACGAGATCTTCAGTTTCTTGGCAATTTCTCGCATGGAATAGCCTTCATTTCTCAGAACAAGAATAGACTGACGAGTTTCAGAAGAAAGTTATTTGTTTCTGGCCATTTTGAGCCTGTAATCGAACCCACAATTGCTGATGCTCCAGATACTCAATTAGTCTCAAGAAGGCCAGTTATATTGCTTCTTTAATCAGCACAACAGTTTTCAGCTGTGCTAACATAATTGCAAAAGGGTTTTCTAATGATCAATTAGCCTTTTAAAATGATAAACTTGGATTAGCAAACACAACGTGCCATTGGAACACAGGACTGATGGTTGCTGATAATGGGCCTCTGTAGATATTCCATAAAAAATCAGCAGTTTCCCGCTATAATAGCCATTTACAACATTAACAATGTCTACACTGTATTTCTGATCAATTTGAAGTTATTTTAATTGACAAAAAAAGTGATTTTCTTTCAAAAACAAGGACATTTCTAAGTGACCCCAAACTTTTGAACGGTAGTGTATAAATAAGGTTTTTCCCATGAACAGAAAACGAGTGTACGAATGTCGCTGTGCATTTTAATTTGGCCCCAACATGAAAGAACTGGAAGACCGCTTTGAGCTTTTTAACATTTAATGTGGTTATTTAACGTCTGCCGGAGCATTTTATTAAACGGGACAAATGAACAGCGTAATAATAATAAAACAGGCTCTGGATAAGTATTTGGAAAAACAGGAGCCTGTTGGAAAAACACACTGACTATCAGCTCTCTTTATCTCTAATCCACACACCAACCAATGCCCCTTAGATTAACCCTTAAGGGTGGCTTTTGACTCTGACTGTCCTGGGAATCTGCTCGGTCGTTCGCACAGAGGGTTCCTGACCTGGTCAATTTAACAAATTAAAGGGCTTTTGTGTCGAAAGCTTCAATTTAGTTTTCCTCTCTCTTGAGACCTCTGCAACTCGGCACTCAAATCTAGGAGTAGGCCATTTAATTTATCATAGAGGTGGATGGAGAGAATGAGAGAGAGAGAGAGAGAGAGAGAGAGAGATAGAGAGAGGAGAGAGAGAGAGAGAGAGAGGAGAGAGAGAGAGAGAGAGAGGAGAGAGAGAGAGAGAGAGAGAGAGAGAGAGAGAGAGAGAGAGAGAGAGAGAGAGAGAGGAGGAGAAGCAGGAGGCAGTAAAATGTCTTCCTCAGGAGAATAGATCCCTCCCCTCCTCTCCCCCACTATCTTTACTCTCCAGTCCCAGAATAATATTAGTGCGTTCCACTGTGTAAATTGAGTATGAAAACCCAGAGAGTTCCTGGCATGCGGGCCCACATCGGCATTAATCGGCATCCAATGAACCTCGAATTGCATTAACTCCTATAACGATAATTAAGCAGCGCCCAATCTGGTTACTCGATCTTGGCACATAATTAAATGTGCTGGCAGTAAACGTTTGGTTGGGTTGGGCAGAGGGAAGGGAATGAGGGGGGGGGGGGGATCAAATCAAATATTATTTGTCACATGCGCTGAATACAACAGGTGAAATGCTTACTTACAAGCCCTTAACCAACAATGCAGTTTTAAGAATGAATACCCCAACAACAAAAAAACGCAAAAAAATACAATTTAAAAATAATACTAAATAAAAGTAACAAATAATTAAAGAAGGAGGGTGGGTAGAGAAGATAGAGAGGGAGAGACAGAAAGAACGAGAGAGAGCGAGAGAGAGAGAGACAAAGAGAGAGACAGAGCGATAGAGAGAGAAAAAGTGACTATCCACAAGTTTAAACATCAACCCGGCATTGACGGCTCGCTTCCTGCCCCGGCTTGCCTCCCTCGATCCCGAGATGGTACACTGGTGAAGAACAAAGGCACAGTCACCCTGATTCCCCCCTGCAAATCACAACCGGCGGAATCATGATCCAAAACCCAAACCCCCTTCCCCCGGTTAGTGTTGAACTATGCGCTGCGTCTCTGTGCCCCAGCTTGTTTTGGTTGGCAACGCTTGGTGCTCGGCCAAAGTACGTCGGTTGGAGGTTGAAGCAAGCCAAGGCTAAAGTTTAGAGGCAAATAAAATGGTTGCTTTAGGACATTTGGCCACTTCGGCTGAAGAGGTCGTCCTTGAGGGTCTTTCTGATGATTAGCAATGCTGCTAATGCTTCTCCAAACAAACACGAGGGCTCACACAGACGGACGTACAAGGAAGTAGACTGTTTTTTCTTTCCCCCTCTTCTTTCTCCATCCCCCCTTTCTGTTAGTGGCAGACCAGACAAAACAAGGTGCTTACCTCAAGAATGTGCTCATCCTGCTGTTCTCGGTCCAGCTTCCTCGAGGTCGTTGTGACGAGACCTGTCGAGGGAAAAGAGACGTTTGTTCGTACTATGGCCACGATCAATGTATCAATGTTGTATCAATGTTGCATCAATGTTATCTTGTCTTATCATCATGCAATCATGAAAATGAAACCACAAAACCATATTGAGAAAAAGGAAGCTAATATTGAGAAAAGGGCATATTTGAAATGGCAGACAAACTTCATTACAAGATGCATGATGTGCTTCCTAAAGACTAACTAACACTAAAGCAGGAAAGGGCCAGGGTAAATTGCTGATTTACATTGTTTGCAAAAACCAAGCCCTCCATTCTTTGTTTCCTTGGTTATGTCCTCCAAACCTTCTTCTAAATGACCTGCAGGAGGAGGAAGGGGGCTGAGATACTGACCCTTAGAAATGTCTCCAACCCCCGGTCACCTCTGTGCCCCAGACAGTCCACCGTCAGGCCACCCCGTCCGCCACACGTGAAATATCGCGGCGGTCCGCTAACGGGCTCTGAAACAGCAGTGGCCTCTAAACTCTAACTGAGGCTTATACCGCAAGCTGAACAAATACAGAGGCAGGCAGTCAGAGGCAGACACAGTCAATTGTAGCCCCAAGCCCGAGCTCTAGCGTCTCAAGTCATCTGTTAGAGTGTAGGGATTTCGAATGAGATCCCATGGTTTGTTTTAAGGATTTCGAGAGCCCTGGATTTCCACCGTGACTGCAATTATTTTCACACAGGGGGATGGTGTTTCTCTTTTTCTGAGGGCTACAACAGTAGTTGGGACTTAAGACTTTGCGTAACCTGGCTTAGCTAAGAATAAAAATGAATGCAAAACGCCTCGAGATCTGATCCAATTTGAATCAGATTCAACCAAAGGATGGGGAGAAGAGAAAAAGAGAAAGCCAAAAAAGATGGCTACATTATACGAGCAGCAGTCTCTTCTCCCCAAATAATAACCAGTGTATTCTCACTCCCAGCGTAATTGTAACCTTGCAGTAGACATGAGTGCAGAGTAGACGTGCCAGAGCAGACCGCACCAGAGCCGGCTGGTCGACCACACGGCGACTGATTATCATAGCAAAAAAAAGGATTTCCGAAACCCGAGACCATCAATGGCACATATGGTGCAAACCAGAATAGCAAGCCCACAACTTACAGCACCTCTCGAAATTGCCCTGCACAGCAAATGAAGGACTCAACTGAGCCAGAGCTCCCCAGGGCTTCATACTATACCCTAAAAAGAAACAATGTTTATTTGGAACTTAAAATAAATAAAAGAAAGAGCTATCAGCATTAGAGAAAGACAGTGTTTCCCTTGTGTGCTAAGCTAGTTTTTTTTTTTTGTAATACATTGAACAAAGCTAATGAAGGCATTACAAGTTGGAAAAGCTTGTCCAGGAAACTGTGAGCGATTAAGAAAGGAAGGACTCTTGACAACATGCCACCGTCAGGACAAATTCAACAACTAAGTCAATGGGCTCCACTGTACTGTTGTTAAGCTTGTAATAATGCTGGGTAGTTTGGCGACGGTAGTGTTATGGGTTGAGACTAGCAGCTAACTGTGACATAGCTTTTATAAGGTCACGGCGAACAAGGCTCTTTGTAAAAGAAGGTAAGGCATATCGGTTGGGTTGTCCTGAAAACCGGCCAATTTGCAAGCCATCTCAATGGACATAAACAAAGTGATCGTATTACCCCCATTTCCCAAAGAATGAAACTGAGAGAGGCTCACACACACACACGCGCACACACATATATACACACACATACACACAATAATATTACCCACATTTCCCAAAGACTGGCAAAGAGAGGGGGTTGCGCTCTCAAACACACACACACAAACACACGTTCCCCTTTGTCAAGCTGCCAAGTGTGCCAGGCTGAAAATCCTTCACCGCTTTAATTAAAGGACAGAGAGTTGACTCCTCTGCACCTCCATCCTAGCGAGAAGCTAAATTTAACCGAGGTAGAACTCTTAAAGGTTGCTCTAAATTGATCCGGATGGTTGGAGCCATCTTTTTTTTTTAAAGCATCTTAGCTGTCTCCAAGCTCACGGGAGCAGTCCTTTGATGTGGGGTTATGCGCGTCAACGCCTATGAAGTAGTAGTGTTAGCTTAGCATATCTTCCTATCTTTACCTGAGCCACGGCTCCAGGCTTCCAGCCTCTGACGATCAATTATGTCTATGGATTGGAAATACACAGCTGCCTATAGTACTATACACAATGTACAAAACATTAAGAACACCTTCCTAATATTGAGTTGCACCCCCCCCCCTACACAGTTGTGTCAAGTTGTCTGGATGTCCTTTGGGTGGTGGACCATTCTTGATACACACGGGAAAATGTTGAGCGTGAAAAACCCAGCAGCGTTGCAGTTCTTGACACAAACTGGTGCGCCTGGCACCTACTGCCATACCCCGTTCTAAGGCACTTTAATATTTTGTCTTGCCCATTCACCCTCTGAATGGCACACATACACTATCCATGTCTCAATTGTCTCAAGGCTTAAACATCCTTCTTTAACCTGTCTCCTCCCCTTCATCTACACTGATTGAAGTGGATTTAACATGTGACATCAATAAGGGATCATAGCTTTCACCTGGATTCACCTGGTCAGTCTATGTCATGGAATGTTTTGTACTGTCAGTGTATAGCTATAGGGACTAGACCTAGATACAGAGTACAGACAGAAGTCAACATGACTAAGTTGTGTTAAGATTGGAGGAGCTGTCCAGCTGTTGGCAGGCTACATATAGGCCATCAGGGAGAAGCTTCCAGTTCCAAACCCACAAACCAGCTCTAAAAACACACACACACACACGCAATCAAACACACACACACTCGACAGCAGAGAGAAGGTTGCCGTTCTAACCCACAATCTAGCTCTCCAAACACACACACACACACACACGCCTCCTCAGGAGTGGGCTGAGCCGGGGCCGACAGTAATTACAGCCAGGCTGTTTTGAGAAGAGGAGAAAAACAACAGTTGCAGAGGAGAGGCACTCCGCAGCATGTCCTTCAGCACAACCGCGTCTCCAAAATGGAGGCCGGGTGAGCTGTCCGGGACAATGCCGGGCTGGGACACAACCCAGGTATTACTGCAGTGATTAGCAGTCTAGCAGGGTGACACATATTTAGCTGTCGACTGCAGACGTGCGGGAATGTTGTGGGTGTCTGCAATGGGTGGGTTAAACCCTCCCCGGTTATGAAGGAGCTATATGAGCGGCGTGAGATATTTACCGTAATTGTTGACGAACTAGCGAAAATCGAATAAGCCCCGAGATTTCATTATTTGATCTAGGTCGGGATTGTTGTTTTTCTCTCTCTCATTTTGTCGGGGTTAAAAAAGTTTTACGACTTGTTTTTCTCATAAGGAGAAAACATTTAACCTCTCCTAGCTTCGAGCGCCGAGGACAACAATTTCAACATCCTCGTGTTAAATTGTTGAATCTACCAACTAGCTCCAAGCTAGTCTCCATGGAGACCCAACCAGAACCCAAAATGGTGGTTAAAAACACCAATTTGTTTCCCGCACTTGTGTCTCCGTCACACAGCCAACACAGTCCAAGAAAACCCTCATCATCCCAAAGTGTGTATCGCATGGCAAAGTATCCCAAAAGAAGTAGCCCAAAGCATGGCCGACTTGTGTGAGGGGGTCTAAGATAGGGCAGGGTAAACATTTAGAGTAGAGAAGGGGTTGTTTGGGTGTTCCTTTAAAGGTGAACTGCCACAGAGCCTTTAAACTGGGGACCATTGATGGGCCTCCACAGAGTTATAATTTAGCTAGGGGAGGAATGCCACACTTCACACAGCTTTCAAAAGGCCCTTGCATTCCCCATAAGAGCCCACTTCACACGCACAAACAGGGATTCAGAGATTCAGACAGGGACACAGATTCACACAACAAGATAGAAACCACCACACACTTGGACAGGGACGTACTGACCTGCACACACGCAGACAGGCAGAAAGGCTGGCACACACAGACACAGTGTAAGTGGATTCTGACAATAGCCACCCGTGCCCCTCCCACACCTGCTGCTAAGAGGGGGTCTTTGTGAAAATGGCTAGCATTTAGCGAAGGAGAGAGAGAGGGAGAGCTAAATCACTTCAAAACTAAAATGCCAGCCTCGCTCCCCTATGCACTGCACAGTCAGACACACACACACACACACAACCCAGGGAGGATAGGGATGCTTCAGAGGACTCCATGCTCCCTACCTCATTACCCTCCTACCAGGCTAGCTAATAGGGCTCATCTAATGGATATTCATACAAGGGGATATAAACAAACAATGTCTACGTCCCAAATGGCACTCTATTCCCTACATAGAGCACTTCTTTTGACAGTGGGCCCTGGTCAAAAGTAGTGTACTAAGTAGGGAATAGGGTTCCATTTGGGATGCAAAAAAGACAGACCCCCTACTATGAGCTCACTGTCTATCTGTAGACGGTCCTCTATTAGGATGGATACAAGGGGTCTGGGAAAATATATCCTCTCCAAAACTAATATGATGGAAGCCCAGGAAATTTGGAAGCTTGGGAATTTTCCCCGACAGGATGTGCAGGACTGCCAATAAGCGGAAGCATAAGGAAGCGCAGTTGCTTACGACCATAAACATAAATAAATATCGACACTGAAGGAACACAATTTCGAGGATGGATTTTTATAAGGTCAATGTCATCTGTGGTCGTGGTACATTGAAAGCGTATCAGAGCCACCTGGGTGTTATGGATTCTGATTCACATGGTTAATGTGACGGGGGTCGTATTCACAGGGTACCAAACGGAAGAAAACCGGCTAAAACAGTGAGCGACTTCTCCAATGAGAGGCACACATTTTCATCTCTGTTTTGCTACGGTGTGCCTATAGGAATGCAGCCCTTGTGGGTTTTGGGGGGGGGGCTGTCTGTCCAGATGCCTGTTTGAGCGTGTGATTGATGTATGGTTTGGTGACAGGGATGAGTAATTGGATACTGTGGAGCTGATTACCAGCTGGGGTCTACATACTGGCAATACTGTTTATATTATACCTAAATGTAATGTGTCTGCCTTCCATTTAGAGGGAGGGTAGGAGGGAGGGAGGGAGGGAGGGAGGGAAAAAGAAAGAGAGAGATAGAGAAAGAGAGAAACAGGGAGAGGGAGGTAAGGAGAGAAAGGTAGAGCAAAATAGACAGAAACACCTTGTGTGTGAGTGAAAGAACACCAATCCCCGGCAGATGACATCCATGTTTTTTTTAAATCAGCTCCTGCTGATGTGTATACATTCCTGTGCTCAGTCATGCGCTGAGGACAGACAGTCTGGTCGGTGTGCAAGCTGCAGTCTGCAGTACCTCCCGGCTGCAGCGTCGGAGGATGTAGATTCAGCTGTTCCCAGAGAGGTGAGGGGGGTGCTCGGGAGCAGCTTAGGAGGAAATTCTGGGCGGGGGCGAGCCGGGAGGAACAGGTGTGCAAAGAGCTCATACTTAATGAACCTCGAAGCCTTGTAGTGCTATAAGCCTCCCTCACACTCTCAGAAAGAGAGACAGAATGACACACACTAGGCAGACACACACACACACACACACACACACATACCCGCTAAAAACAGCCTACAAAGGTGCAGGTAGCTAGAAGCTGTGGATAAGTTTCCCTGAAAAAAAAAGTATACTCCATCCTTTCCTTTCTTGCTCCTTTAATAACCTTTTGTGTCTCGTGCCAATTGTTCGGCCCCCGAATAGCAGGAAACGGCAGGAAGTTGTTGGTGGTAGTATCCATTTCCTATCTGGCTTCCCCTCGCTATCGGCCTGGGGGCTTTGAAAAACTTGGTGCACTTTGACAGATGTTTCCCCCCCCCCCTTTTCTAACAGAGAAGGCGTCGCTGAAAGCTGATAGGAGTATATCACGGAGTGGATGATTTGAAGCCCGGATCCCACCGGCTATTTTCTTTTTTCTTTTTGTTCTAATGGCTTTTCATACAACTCCTGGGATTAGAAATGCATATAAAAGCTGTCAGAGCAAACCATGCTTGCCAACGCATTACCGAGATATTCCTTTTCAATTTACTACAGACTGATTCTCTGCTCCGGGCTCGCTAGGAGGAGGCGTTGAGCCCTCATTTTCAATGGGGGCCCCCCAAAAAAATCACCTGGGTTTATCTTTCCCATTCATTTCAATACGTGGGTCAACTGCTGCCACCAAATGCGGGGGGAAAACAATGTAGTTTACACAACTCTGTCC